TACTTTTCTGATCCCTGTGAGGAATACTGAACCGGTAACATGTCATTTTTTTCACTATGGGAAACAGATCCTGCTTTGACGTCTATAGCAAAATCAGCATGATCTTTCATTTCAGTACTACCAGAACTCCCAAAATGCATATCTTTGCTGCTAGTTAAAGGCATAATGTCAATAATAAATGTTGACACTTTGGCAGATGATTGTTTCATGTCACTTTCCGATCTTGAGGAACAGGATGAGAAGCCAGTTTCTTCACTAATGCCGCTATCTGACTTGGTGCTGCACGTAGTTTGGGTAGTAGAGATGAATGAAGGTCCCCCAGGATTGCTGAAAAGAAAAGAATCAACCTTTGAAACCAAGCAAAAAGATTAAATAAATAATCGATTCGAATCAATGAATTTATCACTTTATCATTTGTGGTGATATTGAAACAAATAATAATGATGACTAAAACTATAAAGATAAAAATGTGACCGTGATAGTCCTTGAAACATGTCTTATAGAGACATCTGTTTTGGTTTTTTTTTGGCTTGCTTGACATGTTGGCTTTGGTTAGTCAGATAAACAACAAACAGCTGAACCATGTGCATTACTATTACAATGCAAATAGTAAATGGGAGTTACATCCCTTGCACAAACTCTTGTTTTGATGAAATTATCTCCCCTTTGAATGATAGCAATGAAATGTCTCCTTTAGACCATTGACAAGTGAAAAATCAAATAATTGAGAATTATGTCCTCATACATGACCCAACCCACAGTTACGAGTGAGTATGTGAGTGAGTTAAATTTTACATCAGAAAAAAGCTAATATAAGGATAACCTTATTTTCCAAGGCATTATTATTTGCAGAAGCCCATTAACTGCCCAACGAAGGAGTGCAGTTGAAAAGACCGAGGGCTTCTGCAAATGAAAATGCCCTGGAAAATAGCGTAATCATTATTATAGCTAAAATGGATGAAATTTGTTATCAAATAAAAAGAAACAACAATATCGGTTTTGAAACTGCAATTGGTTACTGCAATCAACACGAATGTCACTGACCCACTTTTACAAATATGGAAACGTCATAGAACAAACCAGATGATGTCACTATTAAACGTGACGTCACTATCCCTACCCTATGACGTCACCTAACAACGGGAGTGATAATGGCCCATCGTCAAGCAATATGAGGGCATTATCAAGTTACTGTGGCCCGCCGATTTCTGATAACATGTTTAGTGATTATTCTATCCATTTTAGCTATAATAAAGCTTTAGTTAAGAATTGACCTTCACTTTGTGTGAGTTCATTGGAGTATGAACCTTCATAGAGTGAGGGCCAAACTGTATGAACGTCGGAGCTTGCGACACACGTCCTGCTCCATCCGTCCCATTTTCATTTCGTTGTGCTGTTCTGACCCCCCGAACTGCGTCTATAGTTTACCTGTTCTTGATCTTTCAAGTGCAGACTTCTTCGGTTTAATTATGTTGTAACACTGTTGGAGGGTACTGTCACTGCAAGCTTCTGTGGGTCTGTAGGTCTGTAGGTCTGTAGGTCTGTAGGTCATTGTTCAGCAGACTCAGATGAAGGTCTTGCATCTTCTGTAGCATTTTGGGATCAAGCAGGGGTTCACTTGGTGAATTTGTCTTTTGACCTTGCAATGGATGCAACTTCTGTATCAACTGATGACTCCTCACATGCCCTCAACAAGATTTCATGCAAAGCAGCATCTGTTAGGAGACAGGCAAGCAGGGTCTTTGTGTAGGACTCCATCATCTTTGGAATAGATTTGTGTGCATACACAGTTCCCCATGCATCTTCAAGTCCACTATCTTGCATCCAGCTCAGAGAAACGAGATTAGCTGACGTCTCAAGTCTCAAAAACAAATGAGGAAGCACATGACCATTGTCAGCTTTGATTTTATAAGCCTTGGCATACAAAGGTTGATCGAACGTCAATTGTCCACAACACTGACCCACGTTTTGATTCTGTTTGTCTTCAAAGAACATAGTGCTATATACAACCTCAGTCGTCTGTGGACTGAGTTGGACGAATGGGTTGTATAACATTGAGGAACACACAATGCTTCTCCTGTTATTTCAGACACGAAACCTTGCCATTTAGGATTGATTTTGTTGAATGGACCAGAGACAAGCCAAAGCATATCAAGGCATCCATACTGTCAATGGTGCTGATCTATGAGCTGCAGCTCTAGACATGTAACATCCAAGAAAACTGTCCAGCTGGTTGTTTGTATGGCTTGATGATGTCCCCAAATTCCCCCCCTTCAAGGATTTTGGTTGTTGATACTTTCCTTGTGCTGATGGATATGTTGTGCTCTTCTGCAGGAGTCTTACCCATTGCATGTGTTGTTTCATTACCACTGAGATCTTCATTGTTGTCAAAGTTGTCCTGTATCCATAGACAAAACCCATCACTTTACGGCTGAAGTACATCATTGAAGGCCTGACTAACAGCAGAAGCCTTTTCAAAGTCTAAGACTTGATCATAAGATATGCTGAGGCCAAGTGGCGAAAGGACATTCAGAAGGATCCGTGAGCGAGTTGTCTGGTGCATGAAGAGACCAATGCTGCGCATGAGTGCTGACATAGATAAGACTTTTGGGATGCTGCTTGGAGGAAGATATGACACAGGGATACAAACAGAAGTCTCTGTTTTGCAAGAGATGATTCCAGGGGTTCACAAGAATACTCTGTATCAGGATGAAGAGGAGAGGTGGCATCTGCTCTTCTAGTGTAGCTGTGTTGACTCCAATAGGCGATGGACACTCATTGGTAACAGGATCAAAAGAGATCAAACTTTCCTGTTTTGTTTGATTTCCTCAGTATCGTCATCTGTATCATGTTGTCGATTGGAATCATGGAGTATTATAGATGCTTTTGATTGAAAAGTAAACACGTTGTAGTTTCCATCAATTTCTGCAAATGTAACCCTTTCTCCTTAGGTATCAATTAGGTGTCTTTTGAGATGTTTCAAATAATATGGTTGAACGTCAGATGGAAGGTGTGAAGATAGCATCTCTTGAAGTTCCTGAAGAATATTTTTTTAATTTGAAGTTTACACGATATACGGCTTTTGCATTGGACGAGAGGTCGGTCACATGACCGCGAAATTGACGTTCATAAGTGAGTGAGTGAGTATGGTTTTACGTCGCTTTTAGCAATATTCCAGCAATATCATGGCGGGGGACACCAGAAATGGGCTTCACACATTGTACCCATGTCGGGAATCGAACCCGGGTCTTCTGCGTGACGAGCGAATGCTTTAACCACTAGGCTACCCGACCGCCCCTAGTAGAGAAATATTCCCGAATAGTTATTGCATTCATTAAATAGGAAGTTCCACTATAAATAATAATGAAAGTAGTCACTTTACAGTTGATATTTAACCTATAACAATATATATTTTTAATCCAAAGGTCTTTGACATATACATATTCATATTATGTTGACAAGATAACTCCAGCTTCTGATGGCAAGACAGCTGTCAGCTGATCACTTTGGACATCTCGGCCTTTCAAGTCGCCCTGGAAGGGCACCTGCTATTGTGCCACCTCCATACAGGCTTTGGTGGGCCTTTTGGCACCAATGTAACGTTTGTAGCGTTGCTAATGTTGATTGCTTTGGACATCTCGACGACCTTCACTGCGGCCTTTCAAGTCGCCCTGGAAGGGCACCTGCTATTGTGCCACCTCCATACAGGCTTTGGCGGGCCTCATGACACCAATGTAACGTTTGTACCGTTGCTGAAGTTATTTTTTCATCACTGACAAAATTATGAACTTTACATGATATCACTGGAAAAGAGAGGTTAGTAACATATAGTTTGCCAGTGTAAAACCATATTTTTTATAAACCTGTCACTTACTTTTTGTAGTATTGTGTAAATAAACTTAAAACGTCACTTAAAATCATTATATGTTATCTTTCCCCTGTATTCTGGTTGTCATTTGTTGTTTACTTTTTTGCAAAAAGGGAGCAGTGTTATCAAGAAACGAGCCTTTATCAAAATGTAGTACAACTACTACAAGTTTAGTGAGTGGGTGAGTGAGTTGGGTTTAACGCCGCTTTTAACAGTATTCCAGTTATATCACGGCGTGTCAGCTTAATGTGGGAGGAAAGCCCGAAGTGATGCAGGTCTTAGACGTTTACCACTTCGGTGAAACCCACGAGCACGGGTATGGTGCAGACAAACCTGGAAACATAATCGGGGCGAACCGGGATTCGAACCCACAATCATAGGTTTCTGGCGTGCCCAAGGGACGCAACTCTGCACAGCGAATCGCGGCGCCTTAGACGACTGGGCCACCCGTGCCCCCACTACAAGTTTAGTAAATATACTATTGCAATTAGTATATTATAAGGAGAAGATAATCATATTTAGTGTAGATAAATATCACTTATTAAATTTGTAGAATTCTATTTTTAAACCAGTCGTTCTTTGATTTGTTTGTTTGTTGTTTAAAGCCGCAATCTGGATCAGATTATCCAGTGATTGACATCGTGAGCATCGATAATTGGGATACGATGACGTGCATCAACCAAGTCAGCGAGCCTGACCGACCGATCCCGTTAGTCGCCTCTTACGACAAGTATGGGTTGCTGAAGACCAATTCTAGCCCGGAATCTTTATGGGGACAATCGTTCTTCGAAAGATGAATAGTAATATCTTATTACTAATAGTAATTAGTAATCTACAATAGGCCACCTACTTGTCTCACGAGTAAATATTTACTGACTGGTTTGTAAAGACTACTAACATGTTGGTGTGTGAGTGGACAGTGAACTTCACTGAGTTAGTAAACTTATCCAACCATTCGTGTCAGCGAAGCAATAAAACTACAAGGGGGTGTTCCTTCATTGTGGAACCTGTTCACAACACATATTTCACTTGATGATTTAATGAAGTGGAGACTGCTCCAGTCTAGGCAATAACCAGAACCGTATGGAAGTCGCCGTCATCACTCGCCCCTTTCCGTTAACCCTTTCGGCATGTCCCGTAATGACACGAGTGGCCACGGAGCTACGTCCGTGTTCCCTCCGTCACAGTTGGCAGTGAGAGGCATATCGGAACATACCACTGGTCACCTTGAAGACACATAGCACGCCTCACAGACTGCTGGTATGTACAGAAACAATATTTGCTACATATTTACAATCAACATACATGCCGATAAATATAATCGATCCTATTCCTATAAACAACATTGCATTTTGAGATTGCTGTCTTTTATCTGATCTACTCTACCATTCTAATTAAATTTAAAGCGTTCAACTAGTTACAGAGAGTTTCGGCTCTGTAATAATACCTGTCAACCTGTCAATAATACCTGTATGAATACTGATGTCTTTAAAGGCCTTTGTGGCTAATTCGTCCACGTTTACTTCAATTCACCTCATTTGACAGATCACAACATGTTGGGGGGAAATGCCGTTGTCAACAATGTCATCTCCGACTGTCAAAAGCCAGCACTTATAAATGAGATCCGGGCCACGACTGTAATCGTTGAAAGCGACACGACTTATGTCAACAGGCTCACACACAAAGGCAAGTGGTGTTTATTTCCTATATGAGGCAAACATGGGCTGTACCGTTACATTAAAACGGTGGCTCTTGTGCAACCACCAACCCAGAGCCACACAGCCTCCTTCCCAATACACCATATTCGTGCGTGCGTGATTCCCGTGCACCCTATCGATTGCATTGATTGGTTCAACTGTGTCATATGGCCCTGTGACGCAGGGGTAGCATTATGCAGATGGCTGTTACAATGAATGCTCGTTCCACCCGTGGCGAACAGGTCTGGTTGTTGATGAAATATAGTGATAGCTAAATAGACAGATTTTTTATTCATGCACCGATTGTCTTTAAATGTAATATCCAGTTATGTATGACTGTTTAATAATCTCATACCAACTTTGACTGGAGTAGGTCCGATAGTTTTTCAAATATTGTAAACGTCGGTACCTTAAATTACCTTCCAGACTATACCCTCTGGTGTAAGCCTGCGTCCAGGGATCTGGACAGATAGCTGCTCAGGGTTAATAATAGCAGTTTCAAGGGGCATGTCCGTGTCAGGCTCACATCATAGGCCCTAGCATGTGATAGCCACTTAGAAACCCATACCCAATAAGATAGGCGGCTGCTTCTGCCGGGTCACTGCATGTGCGCTATATTTATAAGGGCTGCGCATATGGTATATGCTTGAGCAGAGAGCGTGTAACAGAGAAGCCTCCCAATTGTCAGATGTCCCAGTTGTCAGACAGACTATACCAGGAGTCCAGACTGGTTAGTCAAGCAATACTTACCTGTTTACCTTTCCTTAAAGTGGAACAGCCCAGAAAAAAACAACATTTTGAGGAATTCAAGGATAGGTTTATCATGCACTTTTAATCATCAAATCATACCATTCGTGACCAACTCGTGTTATTCCGGGACAAGCCGAAACTTCTTCTTGCGGAAACAGTGACAAATGCAAACCATACCAGTAATAACACATTTTGAAGTATTCACCAGAATTAACATATTTTGAATTATTTACAGGATATATTTATTCAACTCTAATGTGGACCATATTTCCCTGTTAGCATTTGACATACGATATACTACTATCACATCATTAGAAAAGCACTACATACACATTTTGAAGTATTTACCAGAAATTGCATATTTTGAATTATTTACAGGATATATTGTGTTACATTATTGCAAAGGACTCTATATCTATTGAGCGTGCCGGGGACCTTTTATCGTGGCGCGTGAAGATCCGGGGTAGAATAGGTGGGTTTAATTTCACCTCGGGTAGCACAGTAGAGAATGTGTTCACATGTGAAGACAAAACTGGTTTTATTCCCTCTGGGGTAGTGTAACCGGGATTGTGTAGGTATATAGGAAGACCAGACAGGCTACGGGTGTGAGACTTTATTTTCTTTGTCTATTGACAGATAGACACCCTGAAACACATGTATAGGGAATACATACTAGTTCAGGATAAACATGTACACATATATAAATAAATACAACGAATTAATATCACAAACCATTTCTATTACAATAGGAGTAATTATAATATCGTTCCTCAGAAAACATACGCAATAAATAATACCATACAGAAATAATGACATTATCATTAACACATTTAATTGAGGCAACCATGCAAGAACGATAACTCCTTGATAAGAGTGAGTGAGTGAGTCTGGTTTAACGCCGCTTTTAAAGTATTCAAGTCATATCACGGCGTGTCAGCTTAATGTGGGAAGAAAGTAGGTCTTAGACGTTTACCACTTCGGTGAAACCCACGAGCACGGGTATGGAACTGACAAACCTAGAAACATAATCGGGGCGAACCGGGATTCGAACCCACAATCATAGGTTTCTGGCGTGCCTAAGGGACGCAACTCTGCACAGCGAATCGCGGCGCCTTAGACCCTTGATAAGACCCCTTGATAAGACAAACACAAGGCAAATACTTCATACTAACGCACACGTTGCGATGAACGTTAAACAAATTAAATGCTAAAGATAGAGAAACTATGTATCTAACACAATTGCAATATAATGACAAAATAATGAGTTTCGTACCCTGTGGGTGACACTGGTGTGTAGATTATTCCACTTCCTCTGGAGGAATATAGCGCTGCTATAAAATAAACAAACCACATTCAGAATATTCTAAATGCGCATATGTATATACAAATACATTTGAATGTGGTATTGTATAAATTACTTCATGACGATAAAGTATATGAAATGCCAGGTCATATCATTCGTTCATTAATTCATTCTTTCATTGAACCATTTATACACCTTAACTAACATTTTAAAGCATATGCGTAATGTAAATAATGCTGAACGGTATTAAACTTATGTAAACTACACGATTATACATTTTAGCAAACATTATGATGCACTAAAATAATCAATTTACACCAATACCATTACTACTCAGTACATAACATATATACAATCCTTAAAACATTATACTAACCTTTAGATTTGTTGTTTAGTCCTAAATGCTCGGAGATGCGATCGCTGACGTGCTCTGATTGTTGTGAAGTGCAATGGCTGACGTGCAAGTAGTTTGTAGTATTTTAAAACAAGCCAATCAACACAAGGGGCCGCGCAAGACAAAGAACATAAGACAGGCAATGACACAACACAACCTGTCACCCCTTATACCCGTTATAGACGTGACAAAGATCTAAAAATAACTATAGGCTAACGCTTGAAGATGATACTATTAGAGGTAAAACTATAAACAATCACAATTCTAACAACCTGAAATGACAACCTATATACATGGAAAATCACATCTTCCCCACCCTGACAAATGATGTCCTCATCATTTCATTTTACCCGTGACAACATCACAGTAGAGAATGTGTTCACATGTGAAGACAAAACTGGGTTTAAATCCCTCTTGGGTAGCACTCGCTGACTTGGTTGATGCATGTCATCGTATCCCAATTGCGTAGATCGATGTTAATGATGTCAATCACTGGATTGTCTGGTCCAGACTGGAATATTACAGACCGCCGTCATGTAGCTGGAATATTGCTAAGTGCAGCGTTAACCAACAAGCAAAAGCAATATTTAATGTATAGTTCCCAAGGCGGGTATATCCTTATCCATTCACTGACTCAGAAAAATTGACCGCCTCCGTGGTCTAGCGGTAGACCGTGCGCCCGGAGAGCGGAAGGTCCGGGGTTCGATCCCCGGCCGCGTCATACCAAAAGACGTTAAAAGATGGTACTTGTTGTTACCCTGTCTGGCGCTCGGTATTAATGGGCTAAAGCAAGGACTGGTCGGCTCGGAGTCAGTATACTGTGTCTGAGTGGGGTATTCATGTTAAACTGCGGCATGGTGTCTCAGTGAGCTAGCACTATAAATCGGCATCAGTCCGGACTAGTACAAGCAGCCACACACACATACACGTACATGCACGTCGCTATATAAGTGCAATAATCTTGGACGCGACGTTAAACCCAATTTCACCTCACCTCAGAAAAGTCGCTGCATGACAAACAGATTTAACAAAAGCGTATATAATATAAGAATGTTGAGTTTAGTGTTACAAAAACAACATGATGTATAATGTATACAAACAATCAAACAAGGCGGCACAACTCGCTGTGGAGAGTTGCGTCCCTTGGCCGTGCCAGTATCCACTGATCATAGTTTCGATTCGTAGACAAAGATGCATCTGAAACTTTGGTAGATGGTTATTATCATATGTTTGTATTGGCCCCATCATCCATGCTTTAATGACGGTGTTGCAAACATGAAAAGCCTTTAATCTCTGGCATACCACATTTAATACAATAATTTCTAAAATTATGTTTAAAGACTATTTCACTGTAAATAATACTGTCTTCTCACACCAAGCAGATCTCATTGTACAGCAACATCAATATGAAATACATTTAAAACCTGATTCCACACAATCTACTTTACAATCTCATTAAAATCTGACCTCAGTTCTCGCTTCCGCTAAACAAAGATCTGAGGACATCCCATTAGGGGTCACGTCAGAACGACCTTTCATCCGACCAATCAGAGCGTCCCTTACCAGATCATGAAAGTGACAGTCGGGATGTGATTTCTAATCATGCAGCCTCGAAAACGTTAAAACGGGGTATTCCGAACGATAGTTACGGGCTTAACGACTGAATCTATACAATCTAGACCATATATTAGCCATTCTAGAACGTTCTTTTGTTTAGGTTTCAATTTTTTAAGCGAGAATTTGTCAAAATATGTTTCGAAGCGTAGTCGCGAATTTGAATTTAGTGCTGTAAAGCACGAGAAATATCGACTTCTTGTCGGTAATTCCATTGGTCGGTCAGAGTTTGCCAAAGGTCGGTCTGACGTGACCCGTAATGGGATGTTCTCAGATCTTTGTTTAGCGGCAGCGAGAACTAAGATCTGATTTTAATGAGATTGTCTACTTTATGGCCAAAACATTTGCCATTCAGCATTCGTCGACGACACTCGTCCCTTTCCGTAACTTGTGAGAAGAGGTGTCCCCTTTATCGATCTTTGTGAAACACGACAAATCAACCAGAATGCGCGAAAGAAGTGAAGTTTTTTATTAAAAATATTCCCGAAATACTGAGGATATAAAACACCCCAAAATTGTCATGTGACGTCAGAAGTAGAAACATGCATGCCAAAGTTCAACTTCCTTAGTCAGGCAAGAAAATGGTCAACACAAGGTCAAGTCTTAACATAATGCCATGGAACATACATAACATTTCACAAGTTCCTTCCTCTCTGTCGCGAAATGGTGGCTATAGGGCCGTGAAAGTACAGCGAAAATGGCTCGAAAATGGCGCGTTAATTCCGCAAGTGACGAGAAAATGGTGCGTATCTCGTTAGTGGCGCATTATTCCAACAATTGTGTTGCAAAAAGGGCGCAGTATTGATACACAACAGTTTAGAAAAAATATGTGTTCATATCATATCCTCTGAACGTCCAAACCGGGTTCAAACGTAATTTCCTACCATAATGCATTAGGGGCTGGTCACGTGACTTCTTTGGAAAGCATGCCATGTGTTACAGATATGGAGAAAGCTGTTGGAATTGTGCAGTATCACAAAAATAAGTTAAAAACATCAATATAATGACTTTATAGCCATATCGGGCTGTTGTACACGTTCTCGGGTATATTGTAATGTTCTAGGAGCTATTGTGCACGGTATCGGGCTATTGTAGACGGTATCGGGCTATTGTACAAGGTGTCGGGCTATTGTACACGGTGTCGGGCTATTGTTGACGGTATCGGGCTATTGTACAAGGTGTCGGGCTATTGTACACGTTATAGGGGGCTATTGTACACGGTATCGGGCTATTGTACACGGTATCGGGCTATTGTACACGGTGTCGGGCTATTGTACACGGCATCGGGCTATTGTACACGGCATCGGGCTATTGTACACGGTGTCGGGCTATTGTACACGGCATCGGGCTATTGTACACGGCATCGGGCTATTGTACACGGTGTCGGGCTATTGTACACGGTGTCAGGCTATTGTACACGGTGTCGGGCTATTGTACACGGCATCGGGCTATTGTACACGGCATCGGGCTATTGTACACGGTATCGGGCTATTGTACACGGCATCGGGCTATTGTACGCGGCATCGGGCTATTGTACACGGCATCGGGCTATTGTACACGGTGTCGGGCTATTGTACACGGTGTCAGGCTATTGTACACGGTGTCGGGCTATTGTACACGGCATCGGGCTATTGTACACGTTATCGGGCTATTGTACACGGTATCGGGCTATTGTACACGGCATCGGGCTATTGTACGCGGCATCGGGCTATTGAACACGGTGTCGGGCTATTGTACACGGTGTCAGGCTATTGTACACGGCATCGGGCTATTGTACACGGCATCGGGCTATTGTACACGGCATCGGGCTATTGTACACGGTGTCGGGCTATTGTACACGGCATCGGGCTATTGTACACGGTATCGGGCTATTGTACACGTTATAGGGGACTATTGTACACGGTATCGGGCTATTGTACACGGCATCGGGCTATTGTACACGGCATCGGGCTATTGTACACGGTGTCGGGCTATTGAACACGGTATCGGGCTATTGTACACGTTATAGGGGGCTATTGTACACGGCATCGGGGCTATTGTACACGGTATCGGGCTATTGTACACGTTATAGGGGGCTATTGTACACGGTATCGGGCTATTGTACATGGTATCGGCCTATTGTACACGGCATCGGGCTATTGTAAAGGGTATCGGGCTATTGTACGCGGTGTCAGGCTATTGTACACGATATCAGGCTGCTGTACACAGCATCGGCCTATTGTACACGGTATCGGGTATTTGTAGACGTTCTCGGAGCCATTGTACACGGTATCGGACTATAGTACACGGTATCGTGCTATTGTACACGATATCGGGGCTATTGTACACAGTATCGAGTATTTGTACACGGTGTCGGGCTATAGTACACGGTATCGGGCTATTGTACACGGTGTCGGGGCTATTGTACACGTTATAGGGACTATTGTACACGGTGTTGGCCTATTGTACACGGTATCGGGGCTATTGTACACGGTATCGGCCTATTGTACTAGGTATCGGAGCTTTTGTACACGGTATCGGAGCTTTTGTACACGGTATCGGCCTATTGTACACAGCATCAGGCTATTATAAAGGGTATCGGGCTATTGTACACGGTATCAGGCTATTGTACACGGTATCAGGCTATAATACACAGCATCGGGCTGTTGTACACGGTATCGGGCTGTTGTACACGGCATCGGGCTATTGTAAAGGGTATCGGGCTATTATAAAGGGTATCGGCCTATTGTACACGATATCGGAGCTATTGTACACGGCATCGGCCTATTGTACACGGTATCGACCTATTGTACACGGCATCGGGCTATTGCAAAGAGTATCGGGCTATTGTACACGATATCGGAGCTATTGTACACGGTATCGGCCTATTGTACACGGTATCGGCCTATTGCACACGGTATCGGGCTATTGTACACGGCATCGGGCTATTGTAAAGGGTATCGGGCTATTGTAAAGGGTATCGGGCAGTTGTACACGATATTAGAGCTAGTGTACACGGTATCGGCCTATTGTACACGGCATCGGGCTATTATAAAGGGTTTCGGGCTATTGTACACGATATCGTAGCTATTGTATACGGTATCGGCCTATTGTACACGGCATCGGGCTATTGTAAAGGGTATCGGGCTATTGTACACGATATCGGAGCTATTGTACACGGTATCGGCCTATTGTACACGGCATCGGGCTATTGTAAAGAGTATCGGGTTATTGTACACGATATCGGAGCTATTGTACACGGCATCGGGCTATTGTATACGGTATCGGCCTATTGTACACGGTATCGGGCTATTGTGAAGGGTATCGGGCTATTGTACACGTTCATTGTCAAATTTATCATCGATCAAATAAAACGTATGGACCGTATTCATAAACATAATATTTCATTTGAACTAGCGTTCTTCTACTGCTATATGTTTCTAGGTTTGTCAGCACCATACCCGTGCTCGTGGGTTTCACCGAAGTGGTAAACGTCTGAGACCTGCATCACTTCGGGCGTTCCTCCCACATTAAGCTGACACGCCGCGATGTAACTGGAATACTGTTAAAGCGGCGTTAAACCCCACTCACTCACTCACTCTTTTTATGCTGAATGACTCAGTTCCGTCTTGTTCAGAAGATACAGATTCACTAACTCAAAAGTCACGTGATCGATGCGTGGCGCGACATTATTCAGATTGACCCAGTCCTACGGAAACGAGCTCCTTCCTCGTATTTCAGTTCACTTGTGCTGGCGTCCGGAATATGAATATGCCAATTGAATTTGAAACGTAGATTGTCAGGCTGCAGTACTTACAAACTCGTTTCCGGTTATAAGCCTTATAATCAGTGCAAGCGAGTTAATATGTGACAACAAAAGGACGAGTGTATTTCTGTTATCATTGTCAATTATGTGAGGTGAAATGGGGTTTAACGTCGGGTCCAAGATTATTGCACTTATATAGCGACGTGCATGCACGTGTGTGTGTGGCTGCTTGTACTGATGCCGATTTATAGTGCTAGCCCACTGAGATACCATGCCGCAGTTGAACATGAATACCCCCTCAGACACAGTATACTGACTCCGAGCCGACCAGTCCTTGTTTTAGCCCACTGAGATACCATGCTGCAGTTTAACATGGATACCCCACTCAGACACAGTATCCTGACTCCGAGCCGACCAGTCCTTGTTTTAGCCAACTGAGATACCATGCTGCAGTTTAACATGGATACCCCCTCAGACACAGTATCCTGACTCCGAGCCGACCAGTCCTTGTTTTAGCCCCTAGCGCCAGACAAGATAACAACAAGTACCACCTTTTAACGTCTTTTGGTATGACGTGGCCGGGGTTGGAACCTCGGACCTTCCGCTCTCCGGGCGGACGCTTTACCACTAGACCACGGAGGCGGTCTCATTGTCAATTATGATTAGCAACGCAACACAACCCAGTTAGAAAAGTCAGAGGATAGTTATGCCGATCCGACATAGAGTGGTTCTTTTTATGTTTCACGGAAATTTCAAATATGGTTTGGAATATAATATGATACATCTTGACTTAAAATGGCCAGTCACCCAAGTTTGACACTGTGTTTATTTGTGTGCAGGTCGTGGCAAACAGGACAGCCCATCTCAATTTGAAAACATCGTCCGTAAGTATAGAGTGAGTGAGTGAGTTTGGTCTAACGCCGCTTTGAACTAGTATTCCAGCTTTATTACGGCGTGTAGCTTAGATGTGGGAGGTAAGCCTTAAAAAATGCAGATCTTAGTGCTTAATCGAATCCACGACCATAGGTGTCTGGAGTGCCCAGGGGACGCAACTCTGCACGGCGAATTTAGGCCCCTTAGAAAACTGGGCCACCCTTGCGCTATTGTTATTTTATGTGGAAATATATAGTCAGATATATATTAAATATGCTTAAATATTTTCCAGGGGCCCGTTCCACGAAACGATGTTAACACTACGACTGTCGTAAGTCAGTGTTAAAGTATATAAGGTACGATCGTCCTATTGCTACGACCGTCTTAAGTCAGTGTTAAAGTTTATATGAGGTACGATTGTCTTATCGCTACGACTGTCGTAAGTCAGTGTTAAAGTATATGAGGTATAATCGTCTTAGCCCTGCGACTGTTGTAAGTCAGTGTTAAAGTATGTGACGTACTATCGTCTTAGTGCAAAGATAGCTTTGAGGAACGGGTCCAGGTGAATAAGTGCAAATCAACTTGTTTTATGGACTCTGTAGCGGAGGTAGAGGTTCGTGAACCAACACGACCATAGTGAGACATCTGGCAAAACCACGCGTCTCCGCTAACAGCACACGTTACGACTGTATATGCACTATGACGTTTTTCTTACGAAATGTTTTTGGGTGACAATTTTTCCCTCGTGTGCCTACCAGTGGACTTTTGGTCACGTTACTCATAGTGCGAGTCACGTCAATTGCAACGTGACCAGGACCGTTCCAGCCAGGGTCTTAACTCTTTAGAAGATGGAGACTGACCTATCAGACTTTATGACAAATAACGATAATTTATCATATTTCTTTTTCAACTATGCTCTTTCAACATTTCAGTTTCAACTCGGAAACGCATCAAGCTCCTAGAGTCTAAACCGCATGTTTCCACACGCGCTGAGCGATCTTCCAACCACCTGCTCAAGCAGAGTGGCTTAATTTTCATAGAAGGAAAGTCTGGCTCTGGTAAAACAACATTAGGACTACGGATACTTTCGTATATTGCAAAGGCATATGATAGGGTACCAGTGGTCTTATCAGCATGGCAGCAATGGGATTGTATCCCAAAGAAAACCCCAAAGAAGGAAGAAGGATTAGAAAACCAAAACACCAGTAACCGTAAACTTGTCATGTTGATTGACGACATATACGGGGCAAGCAACAAAGACCCTAAACAACTAGAGAATTGTGAGCGATATTTTAATATGATGTGGCCTCAAGCTAAATCTAGACATATTCTGTTTGTCATGACTTCAAGATCAGAGATAGCTGCGTTGTGCAAGAGAAGATTGGCGGAGTATGATCTCATGAAGAACGCAAGGTTTATCAATCTAGAAGACCGCAGGTATTCCCTTACCACAAATGAGAAAAAGAAAATGCTTATACGAATATGCAAGCTAAATGTTGGAGACAACAAACTAAGTGAAATAGTCAAGACGGATGCTTCCCTCGGATTTCCTCAGTGTTGTAATTTCTATGCCAACAGCAAATCAGCAAGACAAAAAGGGGTCGACTTTTTTCACAATCCTCATGAGTTTATTATTGAGGAGATAGACAGAATCCAGGAATGTGATGGTACAGGTTACCTGGTTCTATTAACGGTCTTGATGAGCACAGGGTACTTGGAAGACAGACAAGCACATGCAAAGGATGATTATCTAAAACCTCTCATCAATTCTCTGAGAGAATGTTGTCACAATGTACCACGAGATCTTACCCTGTATGACTTTCATGAAAAAGCTAAGTCTTTGTGTGGCGTTTATTTAACCCACAACGGGAGTGGATATGGCTTTCAACATCAATCTGTCTTTGACTCTGTCTTTATCAGTATTTCTAGGAAGTACCTAGACATCTGCATCGATGCATGTCCTGCACACATGTTAGTGGAGCTAGTTCGAACACAATCAGAAGAGAATTCATCTTCTTCAGACGAAGATACTCTACATGTTAGTCTACCAAAGGAACACTTTGATGTGCTTGTTGATCACATTACAGACCTGCTTATGATAAAAGATTGTCCTGATTCTTGTATATTGAGTCACCCATCACTACAAGATGAGGAATTTGTACAGCAGTTAGTACAATCATGGCCCGAAGAAACGATGAGGACACTGTTACTGCAAGAACATGCACCAACATCCGTCTTTGTTCCACATCCACTGAAAGAAGAAGAAAATGTGCATCTATTTACCTATAACACAATGTTGGCAGCAGTCCTTCTGAGAAAGCTTGAATATGTATTGAAGTATGCCCTTTCAAGAGTAAACAGTCCTTCAAAACATGCATCAAACCTTCTGGCATGTGCTATCTACATGGATGATAATAGTTGTGTCAAGACTTTACTTGAGTTGGGAGCAGTTCCAGATGAAAATTGCTTCAGGTCCCTTTGTCATTCACAATCCATAGACGACAACTTAACACATACAATCTTTAAACGAGTTGAACATAATGTTGAAACCATCAACGATGTTGGTGGCTTATTTGGCCTTGCCATAATGCGTGGAAATACCACTTTAGTTAAACTTATGATGTCCAAGCTGAATGGAAGTGGTGAAGACTTAAGCCTGTTCAGGATGTATCTAGAAATGATATTGGATAAACTAGGAAAGAACCAGTTACGTTTCATACACCGAAATAAGGGATGGCAGCTTGACAGTGACTTATCACGATATTGGGATATCACCCGTGTATTGCATACAACAGGGTGTCACAATGACATCAGCTTTCTAGTATGGTTGTCAGCTGCCCATGAAGATGCTACCCTGCTCAGATATTTCCTTCCAAAACCAAATGTTGATCCGTTGAAAAGGTACTCTATATCTGGGGACAAAGACATCTGGAAGGCGACTACACCTCTGCAACAAGCTGCATCATATGGTGGAGCAGACTGTGTACAAGAACTAGTTAACTACTTCAAAAGCAGAGGTATTACCCCGTCCAAGTTCCTGAATGAAACAGCGCTAACTGATTCGTATTTTGATGAAGACAGTGTCCTTGGTTTAATAGTTTGGTATGAGAGGTTTGACATCATGAAACTTGTCATAGAGGCAGGAATTGATGACAGGAGAACAGACAGTGCTGGGCGGACGCTGCTGCACGAAGTTGTCGCTTGGAAGCATCCTGAAGGTGTCAAGTATTTTTTGAAACTGGGCATACCCATCTCTCAGAAGGATAACAATGGTTACACTGCCTTTGCTTCATTGTACAGGGATAAGGTCGAGATTCCTTCTCTCATTGGTGAACGGAACACACATGTTGACATAGTTAAGTTACTGGTTGAAGCGGGAAGTGAAATTAATGAATTGGACAAATTCGGAAGGTCATGTCTTCAAAAGGCTGCTATGCGTGGAGACATTGAAACCATTGGATACTTGTGTGAAAGAGGCGTGGATCTGAACCAGAAGGACATGGAAGGAAAATCAGTCTTACATTATGCAATAGATGAGTGCAATATGGAAATGCTGCAGTATCTTGTACAAAGGGAAGCCGATGTACATGCAGTTGATGACTTGGGCAGGAATGTCATCCATTATGCCACAGGATCACCTATTCAAACTGTGGAAAAAATCACGTATTTTAAAGACGTCCATAGGGTTCCTGTATCTGCTCTAGACAGCCTCGGTAGAACAGCTTTGTTCTATGCAACAGAGTCTGGTGATGAGGAGATAGTTGAATGGTGTGTTGACATGGGTCTTGATCTAAACCATGCTGACAAAGAGGGGGCAACCCCTTTACATCTTTCAATACAATCGTCTAACGATCGAGATACTACACTCGTTGATTTCCTCATACAAAATGGTGCAGATGTGTGTGCAAAGGATACGTATAAGCGCACTCCGTTACACTATGCAGCGAAAGAATGCGAGTGCAAAGAACTCGTGAAGATGCTTCTCGAGAATGGTGCCGACCCAAGCGTGAAAGATGAAGATGGGCGTACTCCATTACATTATGCAGCAAGAGTCCGCGGTGGAGGGAAGAGTGTGGAGATACTCCTGCAGAGAGATGTCGACCCAGGTGTGCAAGATAAACACGGTAGTACCCCATTACACAACGCAGTGGTAGCCTTTGGTGGGGAGAACAACGTTAAGCTACTCCTTGACAGAGGTGCGGATCCTTGTGTTCACAACAGAGACGGCTGCACCCCACTGCACCTTGCAGCAAGACATGTAAGGTCACAGCCGACTTTCACTCGACTTTTAGAGAAAGGTGCCGACTTAAATGCAACTGATGGGGAAGGATGCACCCCTTTGCACTATGCGGCTAGAAGAGGTTGTAAAGACAATGTGAGGTTCCTCTTACACAGTGGAGCTGACGTAGCTGCAGTGGATGAAGAAGGGCGTTGTGCCTTACATTATGCAGTAATGGAACAATGTGGTGAAGAAAAGGTGATGGTTCTTTTGGAGGAAGGGGCTGATCCTTGTGCAAGAGATAAATATGGCCGTAGCCCGTTACACAGTGCTGCCAAACAAAGATATTGTGAACTGAGCATTAAGATACTCCTTGAGAAAGGCGCTGATCCCTCTGTACCAGACAGTGATGGTCTGACTCCAAAGGATTATGCCCGAGTATCAGGACTCCAGTGTTTGTTGTAAGGCCAGGAACTGCATCAAAACAGACTTTCCCAGGCTCTTCTGGAACAAATTATCATTTTTGTAAAGCCTTAGGTTCCTCATATTTTATCAAATGGCTGATCAAACTCCCTACAAACCAATTCTTGTGACATGTATGTGAGTGAGTGAGTGAGTATGGTTTTACGCCGCTTTTAGCAATATTCCAGCAATATCACGGCGGGGGACACCAGAAATGGGCTTCACACATTGTACCCATGTAGGGAATCGAGCCCAGGTCTTCGGCGTGACGAGCGAATGCTTTAACCCACTTGGCTTCCCGACCGCCCCGACATGTATGTGTATCTATGCTTGGGTATATTATAAGTCAAGGTGCCTTTGATTAATGGAACATTTGTAAAATACAAATCCTATTGAAAATCTGAATCCATCCACAAATTTGCAATGACAATTCAACTATTTTCTTTGATTTCATTATTTTTTCATCTGTCTATACAACAGGCAAGAACGTATGCGGCCTTGACTGCGAAGGGGCGGTCGGGTAGCCTTGTGGTTAAAGCATTCGCTCGTCACGCCGAAGACCCGGGTTCGATTCCCGACATGGGTACAATGTGTGAAGCCCATTTCTGGTGTCCCCCGCCGTGATATTGCTGGGATATTGCTAAAAGCGGCGTAAAACCATACTCACTCACTATATACTCACTTGACTGCGAAATCAGGCTGTAACAGGGGATCAGTATCACATTCTATGCATCTTGATTTATTTAGGATTCCAAACTCTTTGTTATTTAACGTCCCACTCCGCAATATTCTAGCTATGTGACGGCGGTTGGACAATTGGGGTACGATGACATGCTTCAACCAAGTCCGCGAGGCTGACCACCTGATTCGTCGCCTCTCAAGCAAAGGTTGCAGAAGACTTATTCTAACCCGGATCTTCAAGGGTCGATTCCAAGATTTTCAAGCACCCTCAGCAGGCAAACTGGGAAAGAATGTTTTGTTCAAAACTAGCATTTCTTAAAAGTTCTTATTTTCTTAAATACAGTGGTATTTTAGTTTTGTATTCAATGCAATTGTGTCAAACCGTCCGGGTAGCATGACACATAGTGTCTGTGGAACCATCCAAACTTCAAAAGTCAGCTCGACCAGCATGCAACACCCAGAGCCTGTTCTGGGAATCCCTACCAAGCTCTGGTTTAGGATATGAGTGAGTGAGTGAGTGAGTGAGTTGGGTTTAACGCCGCTTTTAACAGTATTCCAGTTATATCGCGGCTTGTCAGCTTAATGTGGGAGGAAAGCCCGAAGTGATGCAGGTCTTAGACGTTTACCACTTCGGTGAAACCCACGAGCACGGGTATGGTGCTGACAAACCTAGAAACAGTCAGGGCGAGCACGGGATTCGAACCCACAATCATAGGTTTCTGGCGTGCCCAAGGGACGCAACTCTGCAGAGCGAATCGCGGCGCCTAAGACGACTGGGCCACTTGTGCCCCGTATTAGGATATGACATATATAACACATATAGTGGTATCGTATTGTTACGTGGTGGCACGTGGTCCTGTGCACAGCGCACAGGTCACAGATCAAGTGAAGTTAAGCAACATATGTCCACGAGAATCCTTGGATGGGTGACCGTGTATGGGCAGCTTGGCTCCTGAGAGTTTCTAGGCTTCAGTCCTGAAGCACATGCAGCACATTAAATGTGCCTTTGTTCACCCAGCAGTATATGGGTACCCGGTAGGATGAGATGACAATGTGGTTAACCTTCTAGTGCCTAACAGTGATTGAGAATGGTTTTACGCCGCTTTTAGCAATATTTCGGCAATATCACGGCAGGGGACACCAGATTGTACCCATGTCGGGAATCAAACCCGGGGTTCTTGGGGGGGCGGCTTATAGGTCCTAGGATACAATTGTACAATGACGTCATAGACGTTTGATGTCAACTTACTTCAGTGAAGATCATCATGTGTGCGGACTGTACAAAAATATCTTACTTCTCTATCGTTAATTCGTAACGTAATAAAATTTTCAAAAGCTTTCAGCATACATGTCTACCCTCAAACAATCAGACATGTCTAAAAACTGCAATTATAACTCAAACAGTCATTAGTCGGAAAATGAGTCCAAATGTTTGATGTCATGTATCGCTGTAATAAATATGAATTGAAGCTTGCGAATTGTATTTTTTAAAGTCAAAATATGATTTTTGACCCATAAGGTCCCTAATCTCATGGTTGGTCACAAATAGTGTTTTCCTAAAAACAACACATAGTTTATGTTTATTTTGTATGCGAGAAGTTGTCAACAAGCTATAAGGCAGACAACAAGTTACTTACTTACTTACTTTGGAGATTTAACGTGCGCTTTCCGACTGATGCGTATTTCGCACACGGGCCCGGCCAGGCCATTTAATGTGTTTCCGAAAGGGGCGAAAGTGGTGTGTGCAACCCAAGAAGGGGCTTTAGGGGTTGCTTATATAGAATTTGGGAATTTTGAGATTTGGAATACATGCCGATGGGGTTGGGGAGGAGAACTAAGGGGGCTGGGTATGGTGGATGTTTGTTTGTTTATGTGAATTTGATTTGGTTGATTATTGTGTTTTTAGATGCGTTTTATTAGTTCCGTTTTGATTAAGAATACGCCTAAGGCCTTGACGTTTTCTAGTCTATTTTGTGGGTTTAGTATTGCTTGTTTAGATTGAGGGTGGTTTGCAATGCGGTTCGATGTGTTAGGTAGTGTGCAGTGGATGAGTGCGTGTTCTGGGGTTTCTAGTTGTTTGCAGTGTGGGCAGTTACCTGTAGTGTGTTTCTTTATTTTTTTTAAGGTGGTTATTTAGGTTGGTGTGTCCTGTTTGGAGTTTAGTGATTACTCTGTCGATTTTTTTATGTTTATTTTGTATGCGAGAAGTTGTCAACAAAGTATAAGGCAGACAACAAGACAAAGGCGGTGGATAATATAAGTGTGATAAGCCAATCAAGGCCCTGGGTCGTGTCAGCCTTTGATGCAGTCGCCAAGCACAAAAACACTGTTGCGTGGGAGGAGTCTGTCATGCTGGAGTACTCAATGATGCCAAGTTTGACACGTGTGCGTAATAAATAACTCGCGGGTGTCCATGATGTAATTTATAGTATATTTTATATACTTGTTACAAGTGCTGCTCAATACACTGTGATGTGGAATAGATAGTTGGTATTTCAGTTATCCAAAGTGTGCAGTGAGGCCGTCTTGTCAACAGTCATTTGTTAGACATAAATGCGAAGTTTAATAAACGCGAGCAAAGACAGCTCGCATTTTTGCCATTTTATTCACTCTCGCTTTAATTTCAATATTTACAGAATATCACGGAATGTCAGTTTAATGTGGGAAGAAAACTTTCACCACCTTGGTGAAACCCATGAGCATGGGTATGGTGCTGACAAACCTGGAAAGAAAATCAAGGCAGGCCATCGGAGAACGATTAAACTCATCCAAGTTGCACGGCCTTTTCTAAAAGCTTAGGGGGGCATGGGTGGCCCAGTCGTCTAAGGCGCCGCGATTCGCTGTGCAGAGTTGCGTCCCTTGTCCCTGGGACACGCCAGAAACCTATGATTGTGTGTTCGCTTCCCGTTTGCCCCGATTCTGTTTCTAGGTTTGTCAGCACCATGCCCGTGCTCGTGGGTTTCACCGAAGTGGTAAACGTCTGAGACCTGCATCGCTTCGGGCTTTCCTCCCACATTAAGCTGACACGCCGAGATATAACTGGAATACTGTTAAAAGCCGCGTTAAACCCAACTCATTCACTCTAAAAGCTTAGGATACATACTAGGGACCTTTCAGTGGCAGATCCAGGATTTTGAAATAGGAATAATATATACTACTCAAAAGAAGTTAAGGATCACCCGATTCTTTCATAATGGTAAAGCTAATCTGGCATGACATGAGCGATTAACTATAGTAATATGATATATAATGATCAAGTCCCAAGGAGACGTGGCCAAGGGGGCAGTAATCATCTGAACTGTATGGAAAACGTGAGGTGCCAACTCCTGCACCCGAACCTGGATCTACCAGTGCGCTTCCCTCCCAGATCTCACCACAGAGTGAGTGAGTTTGGTTTAACGCCGCTTTTAACAGTATTCCAGTCATATCACGGCGTGTCAGCTTAATGTGGGAGGAAAGCCCGAAGTGATGCAGGTCTCAGACATTTACCACTTCGGTGAAACCCACGAGCACGGTATGGTGCTGACAAACCTAGAAACATAATCAAGGAGAACCGTGATTCCAACCCACAATCATAGGTTTCTGGCGTGTCCAGGGGATGCAACTCTGCACAGCGAATCGCGGCGCCTTAGACGACTGGGCCATCAGTGCCCCCATTTCACCACAGAGTGTAGTCACATTGGACAGACAGCACAGCAAATGGCTGCAGCGATGTCAGTGATGACTGAGAAAGAAAAAACTGAAAAGATACAATGTTAAATTCCTTTTATTCCAAAACATTCACCATTCTCTCGCTGAATTCAACAAAGATGTCATCATCTACACTGGTACTTCACATCAGATTCTCCACTTTTCACCACCTCGACAGAACTGACCTTAACTGACTCACCAGAAAATTCTCTTTGAAAACAATACATATGCAAAAACAAATGCCAAAGAAAACAAATAAATATCATCTCTTCATTCTTTAATGTTTATCAATTAAACATAACAAAAAATAGCCTCTTGTTAAAAAAGAAAGAAAAGAATATTAAAACTTTGCTGGACATGATTGATGCCCTGATAAAAAATGTGTTGTAAAAGAAGAATATAATTGTTTGTCCCCTCTCAAAGAACAAAATCCATTTTTTTAAGTAGTGCAGAGCTACAGATAAGCAGCGTATTTGTGTAAACTACCCCCTCAAAATATTCAAAACACAATAACTTTCAATATACTTGCATACAGAAACGCATGCATAAAATGAAAAAATCAAATATATAAAAACAGCACGCTTAAATACCCAATGAAGCTTTTTCAGCATGCGTAGAAAGGAGCTGATTTACGAAACACAATTACGAGCTGATTTACTTTCCGAGTCAAGCCTAATAAGAAGAGTTATAGACATCTAAAACATTATTACATTTTTTTAATCTTAAAATGTTCACTAATTTGGGGAAAAACCCAATAGAGAGATGAATAGATGAGTGAAAAAATATTGGTTACCCAATCAGAATAGAAACCCAAGAGTAAAAACTCAATTGCTCAAAAAGTTATCTGGAGCTCTAGAAGTAGCTGAAAACAAAGAATCTGTCTCTCAGAAAATTGCCCCTCCCCATCCCCTAATTATTAAATGACCTCAAAGTTTCATCTTCTCAAATATCAAAAATGACCATCACTTTTTTTTGGATGAAAACTAAGATGCTAAATGCTGGCTGGTAGGTGATGGTAAAATACAGCATTGTCACAAATCTAGATTATCTCAATGAAATGACAGTTTACTGACCTACTTTCTGCAATGCACATTTAAGCTCATGCATTAATTCTCAGCACATGCATTACGAACTTTTGTTTGTTTGTTGTTTAACGCCACACACAGCAATATTTCAGCTATATGATGGCAGCCTGTAAATAATCGAGTCTGGGCCAGACAAACCAGTGATTGATATCATGAGCATCGATCCATGCAATAGGGATACGATGACATGCATCAACCAAGTCCGTGAGCCTGACCACCCGATCCTGTTAGTCATCTCGTACGACAAGTGAGTGAGTGAGTTGGTTTTAACGCCGCTTTTAACAGTATTCCAGTTATATCACGGCGTGTCAGCTTAATGTGGGAGGAAAGCCCAAAGTGATGCAGGTCTAAGACGTTTACCACTTCGGTGAAACCCACGAGCACGGGCATGGTGCTGACAAACCTAGAAACATAATCTGGGCGAACCGGGATTCCAACCCACAATCATAGGTTTCTGGCTTGCCCAAGGGACGCAACTCTGCACAGCGAATCGCGGCGCCTTAGACGACTGGGCCACCCGTGCCCCCCGTACGACAAGCATAGTCGCCTTTTACGGCAAGCATGGGTTGCTGAAGACCTATTCTACCCCAGATCTTCATGGGTCCATTGCTACAATAATCAAATCACACAAAATGCATGTGCAGTACAAATATACAGGCTAGTTCAAATACAGCACGAAGTAAAAGATGTTCATATACTATGAATGAACTGCATGAAATACTCGTGCAGCATTTTTGTGTGGTATTTATTTTTATTAATTTATTGATTCATTTTAACTTTCAGGCTGTATTTTAAATCAGATTACGAAGTATTTTGTTAATTCCCTGTGTCGGACATTATTTGTAACGAATGTCCAGTTACACGTGTGTTATCCTTTACAGAGTAACTAGCCCATGACAAATATTCACCACCGTGGCTTCAATTGTTGCCTTAAATCAAAGATTTTATTTAGCTTATCAGAAGAGAACATTTTTATATTCCTTGAAAACAGTTCCGAAATTTCGTGTAAGTATTCAGCAATGAATACTTCAATATAAATCTGAAGAGTGATAATGTTGTGATGAAATTTTATACACTTTGCTACAAAAATGACACACACTGGCTTAGGCGACCTTGCACAGCCATGATTCCACCTCAGACAGATCAGCTTTAGAGTTATCTCCCTTGCCCTTGCAACTGCATTCTGCGAATGTGATCTTGAAAGGCTTAACATCTGAAAACTCAAAGTCCTTGTTTCTTTTGCCTAGATATGTGTTGTTATTGGATATGTTGTCTGTGCCTTGAAGAGCAGCGGATCTGGTCACTCTCAGAGTATTCCTGGAAATAAAGAGTGGGTGAGTGAGTGAATTGGGTTTAGGACCACTCTGAAAAGTATTTCAGCATAGGCGGATCCAGAGGGAGGCCCAGGGGGTCCCGATCCCGGATTTTCGAAAACCAAATGTAGTATGTTGTTGGCAGTAAAATTATCTGAGAGAGGATTTTGATTTTTTGGACCCCTCCCTTTTAAAAATGTTGGATCTACCCTTGTTCAGCATGTGTTCAGTTACATCATGGTGTATCATGTGGGAGGCGAACATAAAAGTGATACAGGTCTTAGAGTGAGTGAGTTGGGTTTAACGCCGCTTGTAACAGTATTACAGTTATATCACGGCGTGTCAGCTTAATGTGGGAGGAAAGCCCGAAGTGATGCAGGTCTCAGACATTTACCACTTCGGTGAAACCCATGAGCACGGGTATGGTGCTGACAAACCTAGAAACATAATCAGGGCGAACCGGGATTCCAACCCACAATCATAGGTTTCTGGCGTGCCCAAGGGACGCAACTCTGCACAGCGAATTGCTGCGCCTTAGACGACTGGGCCACCCGTGCCCCCCTCTAAACAACAGGTATCTAATCTACAGTTAGACTACCTCAAATCTAAAAACACAGAAGTTTATTAGGGATGGGTATTGGAGGTTGAAAGTGTATCACAATATCTTACACTGCACAAGGCTGTATTGCGATATGTATCAGTGAGTGAGTGAGTGAGTATGGTTTTACTCCGCTTTTAGCAATATTCAAATTCAATTCATTTCAAACACTGGTGCTTCAAATTGCTTCAATACAAATTGCTGAATTAAAAAATTAGAATTATACACTATATCGTGATACATATCGTAGCGGGGGACACCGGAAATGGGGTTCACACATTGTACCCATGTCGGGAATCAAACCTGGCTACCCGACCACCCAGCGATATGTATCACGATATAGTGTATAATTCTAATTTTTTAATTCAGCAATTTGTATTGAAGCAATTTGAAGCACCAGTGTTTGAAATGAATTCCATAAATGGAACAAAAACAAACTGCTGGTACAACGTAATGTTTACCATATTTTCTTGACTATATTGCTCACTTTTTTGGCGCATTATACACACCAAAATGAGTTGAGATGTTTTTTGAAGTTATATTATTGGATAATGTTAAACTGATTCACCGGAGGATTGGGAGAAGGCGTGTGCACAGCTGATTGTTGTTTCCGGCTTAGTTTACGAGTAAATACACATGGTAACCTTAATCACTGCTTGCAAAACAATGCCGAGCAGAACAAGAATTACAATTGAAACTGTAAATCAACATATCTAGTGATGCTTTATCTCAAATTTCAAATTTGTGCTGAATCAAGTGTGTTGTCACCCATTTGTTGTTGCCTGATCTCGCTGAGGGGATACGATGTAATTTTTTTCTGCGCATAATACTCGAAATAATACATTTTTATAAAATACTGAATACTCATTTAATAAATATGCCCAGAGGCACTCTCTATGTGTATTTGCCAAGTGTATAACATTAAACACATGAAGAAAATAGCATTTTGAAATCACCCGATATACCGAGCATTAAAATATGTCATTGTAACACGTATCGTGGAAAGAGTGAACCTCAATATACTGGTAACACCGTGCACCCTTAATGTTCATCTCCAAAATCAAATGTGAACCTCCAGCTGAATGGGACCCCCACAATTAAACCTGAGTTGATTAAGCTAACAATGGCTTCAAAACTCTTAAACAAATCACCAGGCCATACCCTACATACACTCGCTGACTGGCGCATGTATGCACGCATGCTGTTTTACGGTGAGGTGAAATGGGGTTTAACCTTGTGTCCAACATTATTGCACTTATATAGCAACGTGTGTGTGTGTGTGTGTGTGTGTGTGTGTGTGTGTGTGTGTGCGCGCGTGAGCGTGTGTGTGTGTGTGTCTGTCTGCTTGTACTAGTCCGGACTGATGCCGATTTGGAGTGCTAGTTCACTGAGCTACCATGCCGCAGTTCAACATGAATACCCCCCTCAGACACAGTATACTGACTCCGAGCCGACCAGTCCTTGTTTTAGACCCTTAATGCCGAGCGCTAGACAGGATAACAACAAGTACCATCTTTTAACGTCTTTTCAAACCCCGGACCTTCCTTTCTCCGGGTGGACGCTCGACCACTAGACCACGGAGGCGGTCCTGTTTTATGTGTCAGATACTGCAACAAAGCCCTATACTTCATTCCGTGTGACAAAGTATAACAATGTAAGGAAGGTGCCGGGCATTGTGGCTTCGTAATATCACACACTGATCACTTCTGTATAAACACCGGCAAATGAAGAATGTTGACATATAGAGAATCTCACCTGAGTGTCTCTTGATAAGAAATATATCAACACCATTTGAAAAAAGTGGGAAAACCCCAAGGCTTGTAGATTTTTTAAAATAGAAGTTTCCTGAATTCAGAGGTATTTACCATTGCATTCAGTGCGATACTGTAAAACTGAGCATTAATGCCTCTTCCACTTCATTGGCCCTGTTGTCACTGATACACAAGTTACCTCCACAAAGCCAGAACACATTAATGTGAATTTGGAAAATTCTAATTCCAATTTGGGAATTTTTACTGATATTTGCTGCAGACTTGGGGCCGAATATCATCCTTTGAGCATGTGTAGATAAAAACCCTGGTAACAAAACTTGCCTTGGAGATTACTTGCATTCATTGAGCCCTTGTTAATTTGTGATCGCAAAACGCAGCCCGACTTCTCGAATGGCCTCCACTCGACTGTGTCTGAGAAATAAGAATTAACTTCAACTTACATCTCTTTCTCCAGTTGACCCTGGATGACCTTTGGCCCCTTGGCTAGGGTCATATCCTGTTTGTTACACACTATCAGAATGGGTGGAGCCAGACTGGAGATGGTGCTGTCGCTGAGTGCAGTGTAGAGCAACCTGTCAACAAAGTAACACTAAACATGAGGAAATCAACACTTAACATGAGGAAAGTAACACTTAACATGAGGAAAGTAACACTAAACATGAGGAAAGTAACACTTAACATGAGGAAAGTAACACTTAACATGAGGAAAGTAACACTAAACATGAGGAAAGTAACACTTGACATGAGGAAAGTAACACTACACATGAGGAAAGTAACACTTAACATGAGGAAAGTAACACTAAACATGAGGAAAGTAACACTTAACATGAGGAAAGTAACACTAAACATGAGGAAAGTAACACTTAACATGAGGAAAGTAACACTACACATGAGGAAAGTAACACTTAACATGAGGAAAGTAACACTACACACGAGGAAAGTAACACTTAACATGAGGAAAGTAACACTACACATGAGGAAAGTAACACTACACATGAGGAAAGCAACACTACAAATGAGGAAAGTAACACTAAACATGAGGAAAGTAACACTACACATGAGGAAAGTAACACTTAACATGAGGAAAGTAACACTTAACATGAGGAAAGTAACACTAAACATGAGGAAAGTAACACTACACATGAGGAAAGTAACACTACACATGAGGAAAGCAACACTACAAATGAGGAAAGTAACACTAAACATGAGGAAAGTAACACTACACATGAGGAAAGTAACACTACACATGAGGAAAGTAACACTAAACATGAGGAAAGTAACACTTAACATGAGGAAAGTAACACTACACATGAGGAAAGTAACACTTAACATGAGGAAAGTAACACTTAACATGAGGAAAGTAACACTAAACATGAGGAAAGTAACACTAAACATGAGGAAAGTAACACTACACATGAGGAAAGTAACACTACACATGAGGAAAGTAACACTAAACATGAGGAAAGCAACACTAAACATGAGGAAAGTAACACTTAACATGAGGAAAGTAACACTAAACATGAGGAAAGTAACACTAAACATGAGGAAAGTAACACTACACATGAGGAAAGTAACACTTAACATGAGGAAAGTAACACTACACATGAGGAAAGTAACACTTAACATGAGGAAAGTAACACTTAACATGAGGAAAGTAACACTAAACATGAGGAAAGTAACACTTGACATGAGGAAAGTAACACTACACATGAGGAAAGTAACACTTAACATGAGGAAAGTAACACTAAACATGAGGAAAGTAACACTTAACATGAGGAAAGTAACACTAAACATGAGGAAAGTAACACTTAACATGAGGAAAGTAACACTACACATGAGGAAAGTAACACTTAACATGAGGAAAGTAACACTACACATGAGGAAAGTAACACTTAACATGAGGAAAGTAACACTACACATGAGGAAAGTAACACTACACATGAGGAAAGTAACACTACACATGAGGAAAGCAACACTACAAATGAGGAAAGTAACACTAAACATGAGGAAAGTAACACTACACATGAGGAAAGTAACACTTAACATGAGGAAAGTAACACTTAACATGAGGAAAGTAACACTAAACATGAGGAAAGTAACACTACACATGAGGAAAGTAACACTACACATGAGGAAAGCAACACTACAAATGAGGAAAGTAACACTAAACATGAGGAAAGTAACACTACACATGAGGAAAGTAACACTACACATGAGGAAAGTAACACTAAACATGAGGAAAGTAACACTTAACATGAGGAAAGTAACACTACACATGAGGAAAGTAACACTTAACATGAGGAAAGTAACACTTAACATGAGGAAAGTAACACTAAACATGAGGAAAGTAACACTAAACATGAGGAAAGTAACACTACACATGAGGAAAGCAACACTACAAATGAGGAAAGTAACACTAAACATGAGGAAAGTAACACTACACATGAGGAAAGTAACACTACACATGAGGAAAGTAACACTAAACATGAGGAAAGCAACACTAAACATGAGGAAAGTAACACTTAACATGAGGAAAGTAACACTAAACATGAGGAAAGTAACACTAAACATGAGGAAAGTAACACTAAACATGAGGAAAGTAACACTACACATGAGGAAAGTAACACTACACATGAGGAAAGTAACACTTAACATGAGGAAAGTAACACTAAACATGAGGAAAGTAACACTAAACATGAGGAAAGTAACACTTAACATGAGGAAAGTAACACTACACATGAGGAAAGTAACACTACACATGAGGAAAGTAACACTAAACATGAGGAAAGTAACACTAAACATGAGGAAAGCAACACTTAACATGAGGAAAGTAACACTTAACATGAGGAAAGTAACACTAAACATGAGGAAAGTAACACTTAACATGAGGAAAGTAACACTAAACATGAGGAAAGTAACACTTAACATGAGGAAAGTAACACTAAACATGAGGAAAGTAACACTAAACATGAGGAAAGTAACACTTAACATGAGGAAAGTAACACTAAACATGAGGAAAGTAACACTTAACATGAGGAAAGTAACACTAAACATGAGGAAAGTAACACTAAACATGAGGAAAGCAACACTAAACATGAGGAAAGTAACACTTAACATGAGGAAAGTAACACTAAACATGAGGAAAGTAACACTAAACATGAGGAAAGTAACACTTAACATGAGGAAAGTAACACTAAACATGAGGAAAGTAACACTAAACATGAGGAAAGTAACACTAAACATGAGGAAAGTAACACAACTACTAGAAGACACATAGGCGGATCCAGATGGGGCGTGGGGGGGGAGCAGGTCCAGGGGATCTGGACCCCCACCCAATCCTTTGAAAACCAAATGTAGTATGTAAGGATAAGGTGAGGTGAGGTGAAATTGGGTTTAACGTCGCGTCCAAGATTATTGCACTTATATAGCGACGTGCATGCACGTGTATGTGTGTGTGTGGCTGCTTGTACTAGTCCGGACTGATGCCGATTTATAGTGCTAGCTCACTGAGATACCATGCCGCAGTTTAACATGAATACCCCTCTCAGACACAGTATACTGACTCCGAGCCGACCAGTCCTTGTTTAAGACCCTTAATGCCGAGCGCCAGACAGGGTAACAACAAGTACAATCTTTTAACGTCTTTTTGTGTGACGCGGCCCGGGATCGAACCCTGGACCTTCCACTCTCCAGGCGGACGCTCTACCACAAGACCACGGAGGCGGTCCATTGAAGGATAAGAATTTATGGATGAACAACTTCTTTATTACAAAATAAGAGCAACGTTTTGGTGTAGGTTCTAACACCGTTATCAAGCAAGTCATGTTTCGGTGTAGGTTCTAACACCGTTATCAGTTATCAAGCAAGTCACGTTTCGGTGTAGGTTCTAACACCGTTATCAAGCAAGTCACGTTTCGGTGTAGGTTCTAACACCATTATCACGCAAGTCACTTGCTTGATAATGGTGTTAGAACCTACACCGAAACGTCGGTCCTAATTGTAATAAAGAAGTTGTTCATCCATAAATTCTTATCCTTACTTAGTGTTCCAACTGCCAAATGCCTATCAAAGAAGTCAAATAAAGTATGTTGTAGGCAATAAATTGGACTGAGAGGATTTTGATATTTTGGACCTCCCTTTTAAAAATGCTGCATCCACCCTTGTAGATACTTCTTCATTTTAATCACCTAATCAGCTAAAACATTCAGGTAGGTCGGTAAAAAAACTATCTAAAAAAAACAATTTTAAATATCTTTAAGGATTTCCTTAAAATGTTAAGTAGGTAGAAAAAAACAAATAACTAGTGGGGGTGGAAGTTCTTAAGATAGATTTTCTAGATTTTAATGATAGTATTTCAAATAATTTCGTACATGGGCATATTTTAACCGGGAATCTCCATGGGGTGTGAATATTAAAGAGGACAGATCTGTACCAAGCACCTAGCCCTAGAGAATAAATTAAAAAATGAATCCTACTCAAGTCTAGTATCATTTGGCAAATTTAGATTGCCTCAGCTCTGAAATCAAGCATTGTTCTGGGCTTCATTTGGATTTTATTCTTTATTTCGTTGATATAAAATTATGATATATTTTACATAAGATAACGATATTTCTGGGACAAAATGTTAGCCTAGGAACCAGCTTAAATAACATGCAGCACAAAAGCGAATAATCACATACTCAGCCACCTCCTTAATCTCCTTCTGAAAATTCAAGCTGTCGATGACAAAAATGATGGCCCTGGAAAAGTAAAAGAGACATTTATTGTGATGTACAATGTACTCATATGAATGTTTGTTTGTTTTTTTGTTTGTTATTTAATGCCGCACTCAGCAATATTTTAGCTGTATTGACGTAAGCCTGTAAATAATCGAGTCTGGACCAGACAATCCAGTGATTGACATCATGAGCATCGATCCACGCAATTGGGATATGATGACATGCATCAACCAAGTCAGCGAGCCTGACCATCCGATCCCGTTAGTTGCCTCTTACGGCAAGCACAGTCGCCTTTTACGGCAAGCATGGGTTGCTGAAGACGTATCCTAACCCGGATCTTCACGGGTCTGTCCTCATGAAGTATGAACGTACAGATTTAGCAGACCCATGTGACTGATGCAGCATGTCCTGGTTTATCGTTATATTCTGATGTATTGTTAAATATCATTTAACAGTTTTGCTTTTTGAACGTGGTCTGTGCCTATAGCATGAAAATTATGTTTGGTCCAGTGAGCTCAGACATTAAAATTCGTTAAAATCATGGGTGAGTGAGTGAGTGAGTGAGTGAGTGAGTTTGGTTTAACGCCGCTTTTAACAGTACTCCAGTTATATCACGGCGTGTCAGCTTAATGTGGTAGGAAAGCCCTCAGACGTTTACCACTTCGGTGAACCCCACGAGCACGGGTATGGTGCTGACAAACCTAGAAACATAATCGGGGCGAACCGGGATTCGAGCCCACAATCATAGGTTTCTGGCGTGCCCATACAATCATGACAACAGAATAAATCTACTGAAGGTGTTTGGCACAGACTGCCATCTATTGATATACATGTATTTACATGAGTGAGTGAGTGAGTGTGTGGTTGAACGCCGCTTTCGCAATTAAAAGTAATAAATGGGCTTCACACCTTGTACCCAGGTGAAGACTGAACCCCCACCTTCCGCATGATGAGTGAACACTTTAACCACTAGGCTACCCCACTGCACTATTATATATTGAACGATGCACACTAACAAGAGGCCGAATGCTAATATGTCAGGAGTTCTATACACTGATTCATCACAAGTTCAATAATCAATCATTGATTGCTATTTCAAACAAAATGCGTATTTCTGATTACATGCAATGTTATATTTTCTTACCTGATGCTAAACCTATAGCACCGTGTAGTGTCAGGTAAGGTGAAACTTATCAATCTTGACATTAGAAAAAATTCTGTACACTGCATATCGACAGAAAGAAAACAAAAACACAATCAGATATTTTTGTTTTTCAGATATTATGGCCATTATATATTAATTAATAGATTGTTATCCCTTCCATCAAACAAACACTTTGCCTCGTGTCATCTTATTGTCTAAGCATATGAAGAATAACCCATCAGAGCTCCAGATAAGCTGCGTATCTGCGTGAAATACGCATCAGAAATGCAGAAATACACAGTAAAATATAATCCAAGCGTATCAAATACGCAACGAACATTACAGATACGCTATAAAAATGAAACCTGTGCGCAACATCAAAATATTGTGAAGTAAACCTGCGTATTCGATTAGCAAATCAGCAACTTATTTTGAAATCATAAACGGGCATTCCGTCAACCTTGCCAAACTCCACGATGACAGTCACATCATGATCATTTGCCATCACACTTTCTTGTGGTATTTTTGAGTCCTATAAAGCTCTCGAACCCACACGACACCAGTTTGCAGGGACTAGATGAATAGTGTTTTTAAATATTTAACTTAAATACCCACATGTGTAAAAACTAGTGGGTAACAGAAATTTGAATATGCAGATAGAATTACTGATACCAGTGTTCGAAATACCTGCCTGCCCGACCGTCCAAGACGGGTTGATTTCAACTCGCGCTGCCAGATTTTCAAATCCCCCTGCCCGACGGTCGGGTTATATTTCATATGTGAAAATATTCTAAGTATTTCCTGATGATAAGCATTAATTCACATGTAAAGATGAATGATAAAATGTAACCCAAAAGAAACCCCGTTAGCTTATCCTGAGAAACATATGATTATAGTGGGCAGGCAGGTTTTGGTCAGGGCTGGCAAGTATTTCAGCTAGCCAGTCCTGTGGTCTGGCTGAAATTTTTGGGAGTTTCATACCCTGCTGATACCCAATGATTTTAAAATGCATGGGTAAAATACCCACAACACCAAAAGCTTATCTGGAGCTCTGACCCATAGAAACTGTCAAATGTAGAGATACCTTGCAAGCCCCTTGTTATCCTCCATTGTTTGGAACCTTAATCTCTCATGGCCAGGCAGGTCGATGACTCGCAGACTTTTCTAAAAACAAAGTTTTTGTAACAATATTCAGCGATAAAAGTGAGTGAGTGAGTGAGTGAGTATGGTTTTACGCCGCTTTTAGCAATATTCCAGCAATATCACGGCGGGGGACACCAGAAATGGGCTTCACATATTGTACCCATGTCAGGAATCGAACCCGGGTCTTCGGCGTGACGAGCGAACGCTTTAACCACTAGGCTACCCAACCGCCCCGCGATAGAAACTGGCACTGGTCCTAAAGTCCTTTCTAATGTGTAAAAGACCAGTAAAAATTTGCCATTTTGCTATGTGTTGTCATTACAGGACTAGTGGACTAAAACTGTTAGTTTCTACGGCTGTATTTGTCACACAGGCAAAGATGTCTCTTTGCTAATGTGTCAGAAAGACCAGTAAAAATTTGCCATTTTGCTATGTGTTGTCATTACAGGACTAGTGGACTAAAAATGTTAGTTTCTACGGCTGTATTTGTCACACAGGCAAAGATGTCTCTGAAGTTTGGTCTCTCCCACAGTATTGTCTTTAAATGGAGAGAGACAGAAGAGAGAAGTTGGATTGTATCCTCCAAACTGATTTCAGTTATACACAAGTACATGTGTGACAACGCATCAGTTGGGGGGGGGGGGGGGGGGAGAAGGCCTAATGTTCTGCAGCTGTAAGACCCCCAACCCCTGAATATCAAATGGTGCTCCCTTATAAGATCTGTCAAGGTTATTATTGTTTTTCTGGAGGTCAGAAATATAATCAGGATAATTTCCTAAAAGGGATTCTCAAGCACATGATATATATTACTTAAAAGAACAAAAACGTAATCAAAAAGGTGATCAAAATAAGCATATATATATTTTGTCAGAGGGGAACACAAAGTACGTGATCTAGACTACCAGTTGTCGGACTTTCATTTTGTGGAAGCCTCAGTGGCTGAGATCGTTGACTTTGTTTTATGGCGATTAGGTGCCTCACTCTGACAGAGTGGGTTTGAATCCAGGGCGGGACTCAACCCAAAAAGTATGAGAATCTGTACTTTACTGGAGAAAAATCCAAAATATCCCAAATATAACATTTGTTACATTTAACCACTTTGTAAATGGCATTGTGTGTTCTCTTAAGTTTTTGAAGTTCTGCAAAAACATTCAAAACAAGGAGTGAGTGAGATACCATGCTGCAGTTTAACATGAATATCCCACTCAGATACAGTATACTGACTCTGAGCCAACCAGTCCTTGTTTTAGCCCCTAAATGCATCTTTTAACGTCTTTTGGTATGACGCGGCTGGGGATCGAACCCCAGACCTTCCGCTCTCCGGGCGAACGCTCTACCACTAGACCACAGAGGCGGTCTTCACATTCATAAATTCTCTTCCTTGTAAAATTGGCTTAATAAAACAATAACATACTTAGCTTATGTTTATGTTTTGTGCAGAACACTGAAAATATTAAATCAGTTTTTACCTGGCTCAGAAAATATTTACTTGCAGACTGTGCACTTACATTTGTGTCTGCCACCGTGTAACTCCCCGAGTTTGACTTGGTGGATGTATAGGTCTCCTTGTATGCCTTGTACACAAGCTGGGAAAGTGAAAATAACATGGGTTATATTCATATATATAGAATCTGATCCGTTTAGTACAGAGAGACATGAAAGCCAAAAGATGCTAAAGTGATGCAGGTCTTAAACGTTAACTACTTTAGTGAAACCTACAAGCACTGGGAATGTATTTTGTTTGGTTTGTCCGTGAAGATCCAGGCTAGAATAGGTCTTCAGCAACCCATGCTTGCCGTAAAAGGTAACTATGCTAGTCGTAAGAATATTGCTGAGAGCGGCATTAAACAACAAACCAACCAACCAAATCGTTTTATGCTGCACTCAGCAATATTCCAGCTATAAGATGGCAGACTGCAAATAATCGAGCCTGGGCCAGACAATCCATTGATTTATTTTGCATATCTTATGCAAATCAACAGTTTATCTGGAGCTCCACACCATGATCATTGTTACGATTGTTGTCATCTTACCCTTGAGAAAAGCAGGGTCTTGCCAGCATCACAAATACCAAGGAGCAGGACGCCTCGTCTTTTGTTTTGTTTCCCACTAAGGAAGGCAAATATTACTGAAACACAAGGTGAAACAACCATCACTGCAACAATGTGAAATATAAATGATAAAAAACATCTAAAAAGTCATCAGTGTCAATCATGTATGTGCCAGCTGTTTGCTGCAATGTAACACTACAATCAAGTTTGTCCAAATTTAATGATGATATTGTTATCATGGTTATAGTGTCAAATTCTAGTGATAGGTGGATGGCTTCAGAAGGAAAAGAGAGAGAGAGAGAGAGAGAGAGAGAGAGAGAGAGAGAGAGAGAGAGAGAGAGAGAGAGAGAGAGAGAGAGAATGAAATATGTTTGGGGGAGTGAGGGAGAGAGAGGGGGCATATAAACATGTCAAATAAAATGAGGGTGGAGATTATCACAGTCACACCCCTACCCCTATACCCCCTAGTCCCTAATGCTGGATAACGAGACTACCATGATGTGAAATGGCACGGAACAAATACTCACACCTAAAATTACACGACGGTACTGACAAGGACCCCTTTCATTTCAAACACTGTTAACGAAATACATCGTAATTTCTAACGCTGTTGTATATAATTTTCAAAGCATTAGAAATGTCGAACAAACAGAAGAAAATGTGTCCAACATGACTGAAGAAAACAGGTCGAACTTATCGGAAAACATATTGAATAAATCATCCGACACCAAAATATTGCCATATGGTAAACCATATGGCCCTGTGTTTTAGCGTGGGTAACAGTCACGACAAAATAAGAAAGAAAGAACATACCAAGAGTTAACAATCCTACAACGACGGCGACTAAAATACCGATGACTGTTGGATCTCCGGCTTGAACACCATTTTTCACATAGGAGACAAACTCGTTCATGCTGTCGTTCGCCATGATGTGTCAACTGGCTCCTAACACTACTTCCGCTCTGATAATAAGCCGGATCAGTCTGACCGGGACGTTCCTTTTCAACCGAGTCACAACTCAACAAACTCGCCTCCGGCAGACTTGACTGTTCTAAAACTGTTACTTACCCAACGGCTAACTAGTGTTAGCTAAGATCAGAAATTAGGGTAATAAAATGTGACATCATTCATGACACTATTATAGTCTGGAATGGAATTAGATTATATCATTGGGATAAAAAGGACCAAACAATTTGGTCAAAACGGCTCACTTGTCTGGTCAAAACGGCTCGCTTGTCTGGTCAAAACGGCTCACTTGTCTGGTCAAACTGATTCTCGTGTCCTGTCAAAACGAATCTGTGAAATAAACGATTAAAAACAAAACAAAATATTTTATACTCGTTTTATATTCATTAAAAGTTTCACTATAATATGGTATAGTCCAGAGCTCCAGATAAGCTTTTGGTGTTGTTGGTATTTTACTCGTGCATTTTAAAATCATTGGGTATCAGTAATTCTATCTGGGTATTCAAATTTCTGTTAACCACTAGTTTTTACACATTGGGTATTTAACTTAAATATTTAAAAACACTATTTATCTAGTCCCTGCAAACTGGTGTCGTGTGGGTTCGAGAGCTTTAAAGGACTAACAAATACCACGATACTTCCACAAGAAAGTGTGATGGCAAATGATCATGATGTAACTGTCATCGTGGAGTTTGGCAAGGTTGACGGAATGCCCGTTTATAATTTCAAAATAAGTTGCTGATTTGAGTATCGAATACGCAGGGTTACATCACAATATTTTGATGATATGCACAAGGTTTTTTTGGGTAGCGTATCTGTAATGTTCGTTGCGTATTTGATACGCTTGGATTTTATTTTACTGCGTATTTCTGCATTTCTGATGCGTATTTCACGCAGATACGCAGCTTATCTGGAGCTCTGTATAATAGTTGAATTTAGTTCAGTGCGAACCTATTGCTGCGTTTCAAAATGGAAATCACCTCGTGACAAGAAACATGTATTATAAGAATGAATTCACAGCGCGCCGAGATAAACAACTGATTACATTTAACTAAACAAACGAGTTTTGTATGTGATCATGAATATTCATATAATACATCATTCAATTTCGACATGATGTGTTTATGTATATTGTTAACGTCATTGGCCCATTGTCTACGATCACCGTCTTGTCTCATTTAATGACACACAAGGACCTATTGAAAACCAACTGCAGTTGTATGTTAATTGTAGGCAGTAAAATATACTGAGAGGGGATTTTTATATTTTGGACCCCTCACTTTTAAAACTGCCGGATCCGTCATTGTGTTAAGGAGATGTTTTCATTGGAAACAATTGTTCAGACTTGAAATCCGGGAATCCTTACCCGACTAACATAGTTCTACTTTGAATCCACCTCATACATACTTACTAATAGCATTCGTCACTACTCGCCCCTTACCGTAACCTGCAAGATGATCGCTATTCGGCTTGTCCCGGAATAACACGAGTTGGTCACGAATGTCAATGACAAAGAAAACTAGCTGATTACCAGCCAAAGCAGACGTCAAATCAGCCCTCTCAGAGCACCGGCCAAAAATCCCAAACCATTATATTCAGTTTGAAAGCAGACGTCAAACAAGCCCTCTCAGACCACCAGCCACAGATCCCAAACCATTAAATTCAGTTTGACAAAGTCAAAATTCTCTCAACCAAACATCAGGACTTCACCGAAAGGAAACTCTCAGAGGCGATAGAATTCCGCCGTCACACTTCTTTGATCGACAGAGATCGAGGGTGTTACATCTCGTCTGTCTTTGAGGATCTAATCAAAGGACCTTAATTTATAATTAGCACCTAATCAGCTTGCCACAACGTTTAATCCTTATCTTTACTGTATAGGTACTTACGTATCTGACTGAATTATCTGTGATATTTGTTATATATTTACGGCTTATCAAAGCATCTCATGCATATATACCTCCCTTCACATGGTGTAAGAATCTACATCGAAGCGTTGCTACATGTAACAAACCAAAAGTTGTTATCGATAGGGTTGTACGTTTTCCTGTTTACTCACCAACTCCTAGAATGCTTCAGTGACATATGTGTTTTCAGACTAGGATCGTGAAGATCAGTAAGAAAACACATACCGTATTTGACGTAATAAGCGCTCCGCTCTAATAAGCGCCCACGGCGATATTTGTTAATATATTGGCAAGTGAACAATCCCAATTAGCACCCCTTCCGATTGATCAATGTACAGTAAACTACGGTTATAACGAACACGCTTATAACGAACTGACGGATATAACGAACTTATTTTTTTGATCCCGACTATTTGCTGTTGTTATACTGTATATATGCTTATAACGAACTACGGTTATAACGAACTAAAATTAGTAGTCCCTTTGAGTTTGTTATAACCGTAATCTACTGTATACACAAGAGTTATTTTTTCGTGTATAATACGCACACGTGAGTTTGTGCACCCTTAATTATGGACAATTAAATTCTGGAAAAATATATTCGTCGTATATAAACAGTTCAGGCTGTTTTTTCCACCAAAATAATATTCTATTTCTAATTTTGAGAGCCCCATGGGCGCATATTACGTCGAATACGGTAACTAATAGAACAACATGTTTATCGCATCTCGTGAATGAAACAGTTGACATTTTCACTCTTGGCTGCGTCACTCTTGAAATCATCACGTGTGTCAGATCATTCCATGAGACGAACATGTTATTTGACAAGAATAGCCAAATAGCCTCTATTTTCGGGGCGGTCGGGTAGCCTAGTGGTTACAGCTTTCGCTCGTCACGCTGATGACACGGGTTCGATTCCCCACATGGGTACAATGAGTGAAGCCCATTTCTGGTGTCCCCCGCCGTGATATTGCGGGAATACTGCTAAGAGAGTGAGAACCACACTCACTCACTCACTTTACATTTTTAGTCTGATATTTGACTGGTCCATTTTGACTAACAGCGGTCCGTTTTGACCAAATTGGCTGGCCCGTTTCAAGTGGTATCGTCTACAGGATTATTTGGTTTGTTTGTTTGTTAGAACCAACAAACTTAATATATGAAGTGTTTGTTTGTTTGTTTTTAACGCCTAGCAGCAATATTCCAGCTATATGACGGCGGTCTGTAAGTAATCGAGGCTGGAACAGACAATCCAGTGATTGACAATATGAGCATCTGTTATTTGGTAGAATGTTACGCAAATAATTCTATGTAAATTGGTGTATATGCTGTTTGATATATAACTTTCATCTGCATGTCGACGTGTTTATGATTTTCTGTATTCCCAAATGCTACAACGTTACATGAACGGGGTATAGTATCCAGTTGTGCCTCTCTTCCAAAATCTGGGCGGTTGGATGACCTAGTGGTTAAAGTGTTCGCTCGTCACGCCGAAGAACCGGGATCGATTCCCAACATGGGTACAATGTGTGAAGCCCATTTCTGGTGTCCCCCGCCGTGATATTGCTGGAATATTGCCAAAAGGGGCGTAAAACACTCACTCATCCGAAAACAGGACCCTGGGATCTTGTTCAACATGGCAACGCGCGTACATCGTCAGTCACTTTCTACAGGGCCCCATTCTACAAGGCGATCGTAGAGGTACGACAGTTGTAAGTCTACGTTAAACTATGAGAGTTACGATCGTCTTTGTGCTACGATCGCTTTGTGGAACGGGACCCAGGTCAATAACATCAATGTTTTGCCCATTCGTCACCACTCGCCCCTTTCCGTGACCTGCAAGATGACTCGTCCCCCATTCGTCACCACTCGGCCCTTTCCGTAACCTGAAAGAAGACTCGTCCCCCTATCGATGAATGTTATGTGCGAAAATACGACAAACCAATCAGAATGCGCGTATGATTTCAAGTTCTTCGTCAAAGAATCCCTCAGAAATAATTTTTGATTTTACATATGTCTTGCATCTAAAAATATACTCAAGACACAGTTTCATGTGTTCAATCATACTGTATAATTCCGCACGTCCCGATGTGCTTTAAATTGCATCTGAAATATACATAATATGTGGGGAAAGATATGTGAACCATTAGGCAACGAGTTGACAATTGTTTTTGGTATGCCCGTTTGCGCTAAGACGGATCCCGGTCGCAAAAATGGCCATGTGAGGGGCACGAGTCGCTATTCGGCTTGTCCCGGAATAACACGAGTTGGTCACGAATGCGTTTTGCCTTGACCAAACCATCCTGAACCTCAGGCGTGGCTAAATCCAGGCACTTGTAGAAGAATGGGGTCGAATACCGAATGACGTCACCTGACGTCTAACAAGCTCTGCAGGACGTCGCGTGTGGGCGTGTCTTAGCCATTGGTGGTATTGCGATATTGTGTGATCATTTCAGTTTCAACCGTATTTGGTTTACAGAACTGACACAAATATTCCTATGTCCTTGTTATCCTCGTTGGTTTTGTTTTGTACGTTGTTTAACGCCGCACTCAACAATATTCCAGCAATATGACAGGCGTCTGTAAATAATCGAGTCTGGACCAGATAATCCAGTGATTGACAACATCAGCATCGATCCTCGCAATGGGGCTACGATGACATGCATCAACCAAGTCAGCGAGTCTGACCACCCGATCCCGTAAGTTGCCTCTTACGACAAGCATAGTCGCCTTTTACGTCAAGCATGGGTTGCCGAAGGCCTGTATTTTAACTGCAGTACATTATGAAACTTATTTCATGATTAGAAAGGCTACATGTTTTATTATGTTATTTTTCGTCAAACAGGACATATAGTTCAGTGTAGTTTCTTCTGCTCGTCAGTGTACTTTACGCTCCTAACATTACAGCTATTTGTTCTTCATATTTTGAGTTTTTATTCTAGTTTCAGCTATCCGCTTTTGAGTTTCAATGTTTGCAGGCAAAATTAATATTTACATGTTCGTGCAAATTTCTCAGTTTTTTCATTCAAAGTTTCAACATACACAATTTCTTGTTTAGCCTTTTATTTTCTTTAGTTTTCTGCAGTGTGGTGATTTCTTGAAGCAAGGTCTAACAACCTTTCAAATTTCGCAAAAAGTGTGAAAACCGGTGTGATCAAGGTCAAATTTCATCTTATTATATACTTCAGTGTGAAAGACTGAGTTTTCTTAAGTTGAGAAGAGTGATATTTTCAATGCAGTGAACACAACACTTGATATTTCACTGCAGTGAACATAACACTTTGACAACTATTGTCATGCAAGAGTTACCTCTTTATCGTAGGTGTCAAGTCCGTACACAAACTGTTGACGTCTTGTTTACGTTAGTTCCACACACACACACACACACACACACACACACACACACACACACACATATATATATATATAGAGAGAGAGAGAGAGGGAGGAGAGAGAGAGAGAAATATGTATGGGGGAGGGAGGGAGAGAGAGAAAGAGAGAGGGGGGCATAAAACATGTCAAATAAAATGAGGGTGGAGATTATCACAGTCACACCCCTACCCCTATACCCCCTAGTCCCTAAAGTTTCACTACTCCCAAATTCTGGATAACGAAAGAACCAGGATGTCAGTAGACACGGAATAAATACTAGTATATACGCACACCTGAAAATAACACGACGGTACTGACAAGGAACCCCCTTTCATTTCAAGAACACCTTCAACTCTTTTAAAGAGGCCATCCAATCAAATAACACTCTTTAAGGAGAGACATTCTGTGCTGTGTGGGATGAGGGTGAGGACCGCACTATCGAAACAAAAACTATTGTGGCAAATATGTCCAGGGTGTTGGTGAAACAAAACTTCAGATCCATCAGCAGTGCCCACCCCCAACTCACTACCACACTCACCTTACTACCACACCCACTCTCCATTACCATCCCCACCCCTCCCCACCCTCTCTCACTGGGTCTGTTCCTTAGAAAAGTGTTCGTTCCCACACTTGTCTACAAGTAATTTGACAATACCCTCATGGCGAGACTGTACCGCATAATGTAATGCTGTACGCCCATCACTGTCAGAAGCACATGGATTGGCTCCACCGTCCAGAAGTAGCTTCACGTTCTCTTCAACCTGCCACACCACTGCAAGGTGAAGTGGAGAACAGCCATCTCCATCCTGTACACGTGGATCTGCCCCTTTCTCTAACAGCAACTGTAACGTGAGGCCATCATCCCTTGTCCTTGCTGCACAATGTAATGGTGTCCTTCCATCACCGTCTGGTGCACTGTGATCCATCCCTGCTTTCAGAAGACGCTGCGCAACCTTCTCACAATGTCTCTGACTTGCAATATAGTGTAATGGGGTGCTTCCGTCTTTGTCCTTCAGATGCGGATCAACCCCTTTCTCCAGTAGGAACATCACAATAGATTCGTTGATGGCTCTCCTCGTTTGCCGACAAGCTGCATGGAGTAATGTTGCCTCTTCTATGTCTGTGGCATGTACATCCAGGCCTGCCTCCACAAGCCACTCTACAGCTTCCTCATCACCCTCTACGGCATAGAACAGGGCAGTTCTACCATACCTGTCCGTCCCATTAGTGGCCATGTTGTGAGAAGCGCTGAAGTACTGCATCTTCTCTACAGTGTCCCTCCGTGACCATGCAGCATAATGCATCACATTCCTGCCACAGTCGTCCACTGCATCTACTTCAGCGCCTTTCATGATGAGGTATTTTGTTGTGTCTAAATCACAGTTTTCTGTTACATGATGCAGCACCGTTTTCCCATCTTTGTATTTCCGATTCAGGTCAGCACCTGTATCACACAGGTATCTGACAGTCTGGATGTCACCGATCCCAGCTGCTTTAAGGACACACGTGTTTCCTTCAATGTCAGACTCATTAACGTCACTTCCCGCTTCCACAAGAGCTCTGACGGTTCCAACAGCCGACGTATCGTCCTTCGAACACTGGCTATCAGGGTATAAATATGCAAATGGTGTAGATCCATTGAGGTCTGTATCAATTACAGATGCTCCGTGGTTCAAGAGGATGTTGATGCCATCCAAATTCATATCCCTAGCAGCTACATGGAGTAGCTTTTCTCCAAATGAATTCTGTCTACTTGTTTCAGCTCCTCTTGTGATAAGGTATGTCATGCAGTCATAGTTACCATACGCTAATGCTAATTCAAGTGGACTGTCATCCTCGGTTACCGATCCATTCAAGACTTCATACATTGATACCCCTTTCTGTATGGAATATTCAATCAGTTCATGCATGCATTCTGTACCCCCGAATGCAGCTGCTTGTTGCACAGATGTGGAATGTTTGTATAGAAGGTCGGGAGCTCTGAACCTCTTCAATGGGTAGACATTCGGTTTCTGGAGAAAATATCTCAGAGCTGATGCATCTGGATGACTAGCTGACAACCACACAAGGTAATTAATGTCAATATCACACCCTGTAGAAAACAAGGCAACAATGATATCAAAGTAGAACCTTTCACCATTACCCTCATTCATTGAATGTCTTCCGTTCAAAGTTGTTCGACCAAGTTCCTCCAGTAAAATCACCAACTGGTTCTGGAACATTTCTGCATGTTGTCCATTTTGTTTCAGCTTTGCCACCAGCAACTGTACCAGGTAGGTATTTCCGTTCATGACAGCAAGACTGAACAAGTCCTCGAGATCAATCACACTTTCGATCTGGCTCTCCAGGTGCTGGTAAATATCACACATTGTGTTTTTATCACATTTTGAATGACACAGTGTCCTGAAACAATCCACATCCGGAGACACCCCTATCTGACGCAACTCACTGATGATATCGTCATCCTGAACATAAACAGCACAGGCCAAATCAGTTGACGTTAAGTTAAACCCGTCTCCCATTCTTGACAGCACCAGTTTCATGACATGTTTATGCTTATTCAGTATGAAAGCAATGGACAGTTTATTGTATGTAAACATATGAATTCTGTTACCTAGCAACGTAGGATGAGGAACCGAAACAGTTGCTGGTTTGAAATCGTGGAGTAACAGTTTCCTGAGCTCCTCATCTGTCCATGTTCGTAGAAGAAGCTGCACAAAGTCCTCGTGGTGGAATGCGGGATGGCTGAGAACATGTCCATCACCAGATTCCAACAGGTTGGTGATCCGACCAACCGGCGCTGGGAAACAGTGTTCTGGTAGACACAGAGTATTCCCAGTATCGCCATCAGCCTCAGTCCGAACCAACTCGATCAACATGTCAGGAGAACATACGTCAATACACAAGTCTGGATACCTCTTGGCAAAGTTGATGAAGACAGCGTCGTGTATGAACTGATGCTTGAACGCGTATCCGAGTCCGGTGTGTCTCAGGTACGTGCCACACAGGGAGTCTGCCTTGTCCCGTAAATAGGAAAGAGTCACTTCAGCTGTCATATGACAACACTCCTTCAAATTCGCAATAAGCGTCCCAATCTTGCATTTAATGGGATGGATATGTCTAACATCCAACTCTCCCTTACACATGAGTACTATCAATAAGACCAGGTAACCAATACCGTCATTGACCTGAAGTTTGTGCACCTCAGCAAGTATAAATTCGTTCGGTTGAAGGAAAAATGTAATCCCTTTTGTCTGAGCTTCCTTACTGCTTGCAAAAAACACACAACACTGAACAAATCCAAGTGAGATCTCCATCTCATCTACCCGAACGAAATCAGCTTCGCTGATGTGGAGATCACATATTTTTAGCAGCATGTTGCTTTTTTCATTACTGGTTAAGGGGTACTTGTTCCCATCCATGTCAACACACAGAGCCTTCTTGACAATGTCATATTTCTTCATCCTGTATTTACATAAGATGGCGATCTCGGATCTGGATGTGAGGATACAGAAGATATCGCCCGACTCAGCCTGAGGCCACATAATATCAAAATATCTTTCACATTCTTGGATGCGATCACCATTCAAGTTGTTTGAACCATATATGTCGTCAATCAACACCACAAACTTTGTTTTGTTAAACGTCTTTGGTATGAAGTCCCACTGCTGCCATTGGGATATATTGACTGGTTTTCGGCCTGTTTTCTTTGAAATATGCGACAGCAGACGCAAGGCAAGTCTGGTTTTACCCGAGCCTGACTTCCCCTTGATGAATATTGAACCGTATTGATGGAGAAGACGGAACGCAGTTCGGGCAGTACGGGTTGATACGTATGGTTTTGCTTCAGCCTCATCAATAAGTTCCCAGGTTGAACCTAAAATTCAGTAAATCAAATCTTGTTCATAAAAGGCACTCGATTACCGGACATCATCGCAAAACAATGTTTCACATGAACATAATCTCCTTGTTAAAGAACATTATCAGAATCAGGTCAAAATAGGATTAGGGAAATTTTATAAAAAGACAACCAATTCCTAAAATGAAGTAAAAGAAATATCTGTCCTCAGGTTTTAAAGATTAAATATGCACTGTTAGTTGGTTTGTCTGGACCACATCCGTGATCATGGTTTTTAAAAGTGGAAAACATTTTAGACCTGCATAATTTCGTCCTTGCTCTAACATCAGGGTTTTTCTTTGTTTGTTTCTTGTTAACGATGCACTCCGCAATATTTCAGCTATATGACAGCGGTCTGTAAATCATTGAGTTTCGATCAGACAATCCAGTGACTGACATCATGAGCATTGGTCTGCGCAATTGGGATACAATGACATGCATCAACCAAGTCAGTGAGCGTGACCACCCGATCCCGTTAGTCGCCTCTTATGACAAGCATAGTCGCTCTCACATCAAGCTGACATATACTGTTCCAAATGGCGTTAAACAAAACTCACCCACTCAATAACGACAATGCTGTAAAATTATTTTCTATTAGTTTCTATTATCGTCAGTTTTCAGTTGGTACCCATGACTACTTTGATATACAACCACTCAACACCCCCCACCACCAGGGTTTTCACCAATGTTTGATTCTTTTTCTTTTTCTTCAGGACATGCGGTGAACAGATACTGTTTATGTAAAACCTGAGGAAAAGTATTTTCCCCCAATAAAGGGTCAGTCTCTTGGATCATGGCTTTCATTTCTGGTATATGTACAGCGGTCGAAATCTGTTTCATGCTGATAACTTAACTCTGCGCTATTCCTGCTTTATGACAGCGGCCCTGGCCTGGAAGAAACAACCAGTGACCGGCATTATGAGCAGCGATACACGCTGTCAGCTACAATGACACACAGTTAACCATGTAACCGAGCCAGGGACCAATTCCACAAAGCGATGTTTGCACTGAGGCGATCGTAACTCCCATACCTTAGCAAAGACTTACGACAATCGTAGCGCTAAGATGACTTTGTGGAAGGCACCCCTGACCACACAAGCACAATGCGGTCTTAGTTCTACAATCATCATAACTCCCATACCTTAGCAAAGACTTACGACAATCGTAGCGCTAAGATGACTTTGTGGAAGGCACCCCTGACCACACAAGCACAATGCAGTCTTAGCGCTACAATCATCATAACTCCCATACTTTAGCAAAGACTTACGAGGATCGTAGCGCTAAGATGACTCTTTAAAACGGGACCCCTGACCACACAAGCACAATGCTACCTGATCGATTCAGTCACCTCGTACGATAACATAAATTGCAAGGATCCCATTCTACACCATAATCCTACCATGGCATATGTAATACTGGATCAAACAACACACTATATCGGCACATATACATGTATATATTTTTGCCCAGTGATGGTCCATCCATTAACACTTTCAATAATGTCACCCAGGGATATACTTACTGACAAGGTTTTCAAATGGAGATGCGCTGGACTGGGCAGTTCCTGTGGAAAAAGCAGATGTTTCTATAAACAAAAAACTAGCTCCGTTTGCAAAACCAAACTTCGTTTCTTGATATGGGCATCGATGATGCGGTAACCTGTTCCCTTTGATAACATTTTCAGAAAACAAATTTAGTTTAATGCGTAGCCATGATACGACTTGTAATTACCTGCTCTTCTCCAACACGTTTTTTGGTGGAACATTTTATGAACCAAATTTAGTGTCCATGTTGTTATTTTGGTGGAACATTTTATGAACCAAATTTGATGTCCACGTGGTTATTTTGGTGGAATATTATAAGAACCAAATTTGGTGTCAACATGGTTATTTTGGTGGAATATTATATGAACCAAATTTAGTGTCCACATGCTTATTTTAGTGGAACATTTCATGAACCAAATTTGGTGTCAACATGGTTATTTTGGTGGAATATTGTTTGAACCAAATTTAGTGTCCACATGGTTATTTTGGTGGAACATTTTATGAACCAAATTTGGTGTCAACATGGTTATTTTGGTGGAATATTACATGAAGCGAGGTTACCCCCACCCCCCTCTGCCACGCAACACACTCACTCACACACACAAACACACACACACTCACTCACTCACTCGCTTGCTCGTGCACATCATGAAAATAGCTTCAACATTGCAGCATGTATGAAACCACATAGAATGTACAAAGTCGGTGCATAATATATAAGACAACCAAAAGAAGCTTTAAAATTGTGGATGAGTTTGATAACATGCAATGGCCCTCGTCCTGAAGGACACAGAGTGCTTTACCTTGATGTTCGATAGTGTTGATGACTGATGTCTTGCTCCTGATGGCAACCTCCTTCGCCTTGATACTGTTAATCAATATGACGTCTTCACACCCTCGTATGTTATTCACTGTGTGTGTAGCATCTACAAGGAAACAACCCCGTGAGACGCGGGATCAGACTCAGTAATATGATTGTTTACAGGCTGACGTCATTAATATAGTGCGGCATTTAACAACAATTCTACCATGAATTTGGAAATATTCGATTTCGATTGGTCAATCAGAGGTATCAAATCACAATAAACCCCCTCTTATTGAAACAGCCAATTTGACGACCGTATCACCACAGAAGCTAATATTTTTAGAATAATATTTTTTTTACAGTCATTGTCGGTAGGCATATTTCAACAATTGTATGTACAATTATAGGCTACAAAATGCAAAGTTGGGTTACTACAATATTCAAACTACAATATTTCATGCAAAAAACATGATATAAATCTACAAAGAGAATGTACTTTAATTTATTATTTGCGTCACAATAAGCGCTATGGCGCCATAATAGTAAAGTGCAGTGTTGAACGAAACCTTTGCAAGGCTTGCTTAGTTTTCTTTAGGGGTGCCCACTTCATGTTAACTTACGAGTGCTACATGCTTTCAGTGCCTAAAATAAATTTGTGTGAAGTATTATGGTGTAAACAAACTGCATGATGCTCATGATGTCAATCACTGGATTGTCTATTTGTTTAAATTCTTGACTGTATCATTTTAGTTCTATATTTTGAATGAAACAGCATATTTGCAGAAGATTTAACATATGAACAAGAGACAGTCCTGGATTTGTTATAGACATGTACAACCACTTACCCAGCGACATAAACGTGTTGACCGACACATCCATGTCCGCGTGTGGACTCAGATTGGCATCGACGGAGACTTGGGATCCATTTCTGTCTGAACACCCGGTGTTGAAGCCAGGTGCGACCGACTGGCGAACCATTGCTCGCTTGACAGCGTGAAGCGCCATCGGTTCTTCCTTCTGCTGCCGAGCTATCTGTATGTCATTTGAATCTTCGGATATGAATTCTGGGTAATTTCCGTCACAGACATTTTTGGTCCGTAATTTTGGCATCAGTTCATCGTGCAGTTGCACTCCCAGATCCATGTTATGTGAAACCTGTGGGTGATTTCTGTCACGAACATTTTTGGTCGGTAATTGTGGCATCAGTTCATCGTGCAGTTGCACTCCCAGATCCATGTTATGTGAAACCTGTGGGTGATTTCTGTCACGAACATTTTTGGGCGTGTCACAACAACTGTCCTCCATGTCGTCTACGTATCGGTTTGTGTTTGTTCGTTGTCTATCAGCACGAGTGAGTCCCCTAATGGTTGGGTGAAGTCCATCTTGGTGTTCCCACCTTAATATTTCTGGAATAGTATTAAAAGTTAAATGAATCCATATTCTTGTGGGAAAAATAATTTGTGAAAGAATGTTTGGTTCCGCCTTTAAGATGGTATAATATATCTTAAAGCATTGAGAGACCACCCGACCATACACCCCCCCACACACACCACACACCTTTAAGATGGAACAATATATCTTAAAGCAGTGAGAGACCACCCGACCATACACCCCTACACACACACCACACACCTTTAAGATGGAACAATATATGTTAAAGCAGTGAGAGACCACCCGACCATACACCCCCCCCACACACACCACACACCTTTAAGATGGAATAATATATGTTAAGCAGTGAGAGACCACCCGACCATACACCCCTACACACACACCACACACCTTTAAGATGAAATAATATATCTTAAAGCAGTGAGAGACCACCCGACCATACACCCCCCCCACACACACCACACACCTTTAAGATGGAATAATATATGTTAAAGCAGTGAGAGACCACCCGACCATACACCCCTACACACACACCACACACCTTTAAGATGGAATAATATATGATAAAACAGTGAGAGGCCACCCGACCATACACCCCTACACACACACCACACACCTTTAAGATGGAATAATATATGTTAAAACAGTGAGAGACCACCCGACCATACACCCCCCCACACACACCACACACCTTTAAGATGGTATAATATATGTTAAAGCAGTGAGAGGCCACCCGACCATACACCCCCACACACACACCACACACCTTTAAGATGGAATAATATATGTTTAAGCAGTGAGAGACCACCCGACCATACACCCCTACACACACACCACACACCTTTAAGATGGAATAATATATCTTAAAGCAGTGAGAGACCACCCGACCATACACCCCTACACACACACCACACACCTTTAAGATGGAATAATATATCTTAAAGTAGTGAGAGACCACCCGACCATACACCCCCCCACACACACACCACACACCTTTAAGATGGAATAATATATGTTAAAACAGTGAGAGGCCACCCGACCATACACCCCCACACACACACACCACACACCTTTAAGATGGAATAATATATCCTAAAGCAGTGAGAGACCACCCGACCATACACCCCCCCCACACACACCACACACCTTTAAGATGGAATAATATATGTTAAAGCAGTGAGAGACCACCCGACCATACACCCCTACACACACACCACACACCTTTAAGATGGAATAATATATGTTAAAACAGTGAGAGGCCACCCGACCATACACCCCTACACACACACACCACACACCTTTAAGATGGAATAATATATCTTAAAGCAGTGAGAGACCACCCGACCATACACCCCCCCCCACACACACCACACACCTTTAAGATGGAATAATATATGTTAAAGCAGTGAGAGACCACCCGACCATACACCCCCCCCCCACACACCACACACCTTTAAGATGGAATAATATATGTTAAAGCAGTGAGAAACCACCCG